GGAGATATCGCACGGCGAAGAGGGGACAAGCGGGAACAAGAGATGCTCACTCATTGCAATGATGAGCTGAATATGATAATGTCAAAAGCTTTCTTTCTCTAATGAGCCCAAAGATGAATTTAATATGCATCTATATTTACATAAATTCGTTGGAATACACATGGCAGCTGCCTCGTTTGCATCATAGCCGATGACAACCGACGCGCCATTGCTTTTTGTCGGAATTTCTAATCGAAAATGTGCTCGAACATTTTGATGCTCGTTTCCATTGGTTTTCGTTACAAAATCTAATTTCCACGTCAAAAGGGCACTATGAACATAAATGGTTTCCTTTAATAATGTAAAATCTGTATTTCGCAAGTTGATTATGCAATCGCAGTCATCGTTATTCGGCAAAAATGTAGCGACGGTAATTGTAGCGGAAAAACTGGGTGCACAACATCAAAGTGAAGAGCGCATTTGCTGTGGCCGAACGTCATGCGGCATGCACGCATAATTTCGCATAAAAAAAGGAACATGACGACAGTCACACTGTCATGTGCGTGCTGCTGCTGCTGCAAGAAATAAAGAAGGGAAAAAAACGAGAAACAAGAACGATGCTTGTATCGATTTGCACAATTGAAATTGACTTTCTCCCAGAGAGCGAGGGAACGAGTACGATAGAATGCGTGAATCATGAATAAATAATTGAATTAAATTACACCAACAATTGTGACTCTGATTGGATTGTTGTGAATTTACGGCTGGATATTATCACTGGCAATCAATCGGGATGTCAGTATTGTGGCGTGAAATGTCAAACTCAACATCAAGAATGTATATGAGCTAACAATACAATAGAACACAACACATCACCGTATCTATAACCTTGTACTTGATTTTTCGAAAATCACAAGGTTTTTTTCCCCTATTGTTACGTGCACGGTAACAATAACGAAATATTCAAACATGTACTTATCTAGACTCAGTCACGCTGGATCGGTTTTGGGCGCTATTGTCATATCGTTGTCCTTGTGCGGGCGGGCGGGAGCACATTTCGTGTGTGGAAAAACGAAACAAAATAAAATCGAAAACATTCGGGAAAATCATATGAAAACGTGATATTCCATACGAACAGATGACTCCATAGCCATATGTATTGTGTCATCAAAACTAACTGTAATTTGTGTATGGCATCGAATTTCTGATTTGCAGAAAATCGAATATCCAAAATGCACTTTGTCGATGGAATCTTGTTTGCAATGGCATCGTTTGATGAGTATTTGTGTGTTTGTGTGTGAACCGTATCGATTGACTATGTTGGATCGATTACTGATAAATAACCTATATACTCTATATGCCATTCGGTGGTTAGTGATTGGTTTGTGTGTAAGTCTTTGTTTTTATTTTTGTGTACCTGTTATTGAGCCTAATTGTGATATATCGAAGCAACTGCTTCGAGTTTTCATTGTTTTTAGCGGCGATGAATGGTTGAATGATGCGACAGTCATTGCTCTAGTTGTGTTGGCATAATTTGACGATTGGTCGGTGGTGATCCAGTCGGTGTCTATTGCCTTCGATGCACTGCGTTTAAAGTGCTCGAGAAAATTGTCGATTTGAACTTCAATCGAACTTGATGTATTGGCCATTGTTTTACTTTAAATTTTTTTTTTCTCACATTTAAACTGTCACATATCTCTTCACTTCACTTATTCCAATGATTTAAATTTTGATTTTTTTTCTTCATTTTCCGCATTTTTCTTTTTGCTCTGCGTTCAACATTTCGTATCACTTTGTACTGGCCATTGAGTGACACACTACCATCGGCCCTTAATTTTTAATAGCAAACATTTACCCTTTGCACTATTCACTTGAACATTCACACTGACATTTTCTGTATCTTGTGCTTTTCCCACGCTCAGTGTGTATAAGTTATCAATAACATTGACCAACCAGGCTGCCATTAAATTTGCAAAATCAAATGTTGAAAAATAGAACAGAAATTCCATTCAATGCCAATCGAAACTGGCCGAATATTAAGGCAAAACAACACTATTTTTCCGCGTATTCGTTTTATCTCGCACCAATACAAAAGAATCAACCCAACTGAGTAAGACTTTCACATGGAAAACCAATGTATGAATCGTATTCGTTGTAACAGCGCTACATTGAATGACGACGCGAACACGAACATTTCCACTAGTGCACTGAGTTCATCGGTAGATTCTTGACACCGACCAAACCAACAGTATGTTGTAAGTACCTGCGCGCGTATTCTTCTCGCCAAGCATATACGTACTCGGGCTGCGTTTTCATATTCACCGACTTCCAACTACATTCGAACGAATGTGACCGCGCGCGCTCGACTGCCAAGCAGCAGTAGTAGCAGCAGCAGCAGCAGCAGCAGCAGCAGCAGCAGCAGAACCGATGGGCAAAGGCACATTGCGGGAGCTAGAGCCGTAAACGGTTGGAAAACTGAATAAATATGTATGATTCCGCGCTAGCATTTCTATGTTACGACGTTCTGAATGGAAAAATTATTGTTATGGATGTCGCTCTGGCTCACGCGCGTGCTTGCTCGTTCATTCTTCGGCCATCGGAGGCAATGCACATGGCACGGAACTACGCATTTCACGGTCGGAAAGAGACAGAAACAATTGGTATGAAATTGCTAGTCGAGTTCGATGGATGCGCGCTATAAACAACGGCCAACAACATTTGCAAAGAGAGCGAAAGGAAGGGGGCTGAGAGAGAGAGAGAGAGAGAGAGAGAGAGAGAGAGAGAGAGCGCAACTAGGAAAGCGTTATGCGTACTCAGCGCCGAGATATATGAATAAGTGTGTTCTATGATTTTCATTGGATTGGAACACGAAATTGAAAAAGAGACGGCACGAAAACAAAAATGTTATCGTATTGCGTGACACATCGGGGCAAAGAACAATGCACGCATTTTCTACCGAAAAAAAGAGAGACAATTATTCAACGGCGGAATAATGACGAAAGAATGGAAGGCAATTGGTAGAACAGACGAATGAAAAGAACCTTTAACGAGCAATTTCTTGAAATGAACAATGCACCCGCCCAATTCGTTCAATTCCAATTCCAATATGATATTGGCCACTTTTGATGATAGACTATTGTAAAACGGTTATTTTTAGGCAAAACGCACTAGCAATTTCACACATGTTCAGTCAACGATGTTGATGACCACGTCAAGTAATGAAAAAAAAATAGAGACAGGGAGAGCAAGCGCGGGAGCGAGTGGTAAGAAGGCATTGGTTCTATGCACTCGTTTAGCAACCGTTACCACTTCAACCATCGAGCAGCTGATGGCTTGCGCACTGTACAAAACTCACTCTTTCACGTTGCTATGACCAACAGCTTCGAGGAGGCACACAATTTCTTTCATTGTCAAATGTCATATATAGCACAACAACAGTGTGCAAGAATTTTCGCGAACATGCGTCGCAATTCATTGACTCATCCGCAAATTCCTTTCGCCACATTCATTCACATTCGATCCGTGTGGGCTGTTCATCTTTTTTTTTGGCAACAACAAAATCGCACGTTTCAAACATTTTGTACGTTACAAACAGATGCTGTGCTGGCCGTTTGTCGCCTTCGATCATATCGCTCACGCTTTATTTTCGATACGATGAATAAGACATTGTTTTCATGTTTGATGCACTTGAGCTAGACACAATTTAAATGAATCACAATACTAGAGACTCATCATCATAGGCATCATCATCATCATGCATCCAATGACATCGTTTCGGCCGAATAGAACAAAAATGGCAATGCTCAATGCGTGTGTATGTTCCAAATCGCATAGAGCAAATGATTAACGAATTAATTAAGCGTTTGCTACGATTTTGTGTGATGTTTGAACAGAAAAACCTTTATCTGATCATCATTCTAATGCATATGTATGGTGTTTGTTTGTTTTCACTTTTCCACTCGGTTCTTATTCAATTAGAGCGATTTTACTAGTACTGTGATAGGCGGGAAACAACCTTGACGGAGTCAAAGTTGCAAATATTATGATCATATGGTATGTGTAAGCTGTAAACAGCCTTCGTTTCAATACAATTATCAAACGATTGTCATTTTGATAGTGATAGAGTTGTTCCTTTCCGATCGTGAATCTCCGCTGGGCCATAGATGTTTCGCTGGGCCAAAGATCGTCGTCGTCGTCGTCGTCGTCGTCGTTGTAGTTAATAATACGACCAAAATAGAGTTTGACAATAATTCAAAGGTTGCTATTGTGCCGAATCGAGTAAAGGTGTTGCAATTCAAAACATACATCTTACATTGGCGAAAACATTCAAATGCAACGAGCATAAAAATCGATTGCAAGTCGGTTTAGTGCATCGAATTGTTTTTTTTTTGTAGCTGTATGGTTCCGTTTCCACCGATTGCAAATCGCTGACGAACATTCGATTTAAACGAAAGTCGTGGGAGCCGAAAATGCCAGTAATAAAAATACACATATTCATGTTATGACGAACGAGAGAAAAATCAACACGACGAATATGAGCTCACTGCAAAATCTGTTTTGATTGTAATAAACACGGGCTAAAATGTATACAAACGCACTATATGCTACGCATTTGTCGTTCGCACACATACTGTTGTCTCTTTCATGCCAATAGCATGAACCTGTACGTGGGCTCTTATCATCGTGTGCGTGCGCACACATCTTCAACGTCACATGAGATACAAATACCAGCATAATCAATGACATTGGCTCGACAAAAATCGAAGCACACAGTGAAAAAAGTGTCAAATATTATATGAACCGTGAATACATCCACAGTCTCAACACATTTGCATCAATTGCAATTAAAAATTGCTGGTTATAAGTGGAAAATATCGAAAATTTGGCCATAAAATCGAGCTGACACACGCTAAATTTTCTCCAGTCTGCATTATGCCATTGTGTTGAGTCAGATTTCATTTGGTTGGCTGTGTTTTTGTGTGGAAAACGGCGATTTATTTCGTGTTGAACTTGAGTGAGTATCTTTGATTGTCGAATTGACCGGTTTACAGTTAAAGAAAAAGCAATAAAGAAAGAAAGAGTGAGTCGAGTTTTGTGTGTGATACTCACCGTGATGGTGATCATCGGCTGTAGCTACTACTGTCGACTCCTCTGTATTGAGCTCGGTGTGTGTTTTCATTAAATTCAATTAGACAAAGATAGAACGACGAGAATAAACGGAACAGAATCACCGAGTCACACACGGAGAAGAAGAAAGTCTTAAAACTATATGCAGCCAGCACATTCAGAGTCAGTAGTTAATAGTCGTTCAATCGCACAACCGAAAGCCGAGCCTTCATCACACCATTCAACGTGTGTGTTTACTTGAAATAATAATTAGTTTGATTAATTTTTTTTTTGTTATTCAGTTCCTTATTTTTTTGCGAACTTTTTTTTATCGTTTATTTTTACAAATTATTATTTTTTACTCCCATTTTTTTTTTGCCCCCAACCGATAAGCATAGGATAAATTCGGCGAAACAAATTCATCGAAGCAAAATTAGTTGAATAATTTCAATTTCTTTCCCTCCGTAGATTAATTGTTCACTGGTTGTGTGTGTTTACGAATTAATCAAGTGTTTTATCAATTGGTGCGAGAGAAAAGAGCTTAAAAAGCAAACGTCGCAATATCAGTGGAAATATTGGAAAAATAATTTGTTCAATTCATCAATTTTTATACCGTCGATAAGAACAACAACGAAAAATGGGTCGTAAGTACAAGTTTTTCTTCTTTTCTTTTTATCCACAACATTTTTGTATATCGATTTGGATAAAGTTCAAGCGGCATTTGAGATTTTGTTGGGATGTTTGCCTGTATCGATTATGCTTCGTTTCATTTGATGTGTTTGTGTGGTTCTATCGGCCGACCTGTGGAACCGTTTCATCATACACAATCTGACAAATCCAATACAAATTTCAATTAGACATTTGTCGAATCAATGCAAGCAACGCACGTGCACCGCACCAAATCCGATAACACCAAATTTTTTTTCCTCCCATTTGCGAATGCAGCAAAAAATACGCAGAACGATTATTTACGCTTGGTTTTTAATACGAGACTACTAGAATTTTGATTGAAAATGAGACAAATTCAAATCAATTGATTTGACCTTGAGTAACCTTCAGTCGATAATTTTTCACTTTTTCTTGTTGTTGCTGTCGTTGTTTCTATGCGAAGTGCTTGGGTGTCGTAAATTGGATTGAATGCAAGATTGTTTTCATGTTGTGTATAACGCACTGTCAAATTGAACATTTCAAGTACTTGAGATGTGGTTTCGAGTGGAGCGCCAAGTTCAAAAATCCCAGGCGTTCAGTTCGAAAAGTCGTTAAGATTATAGGCCCATTCAATCGGTCTGTGTACCATTATATAATTAAATCTGCATCGCGGAAGTGACATGATATTTTGGTTTATCTCAATGAAATAGAAAAACATAGCGATAGCGTTCCATTTGATACGTTGCACATGTTTGAACCTATAAGACAAAACTGCATTGATACTAAATGTTCAATCGATTCGCTATTGAGAGAAGGAAATAAAGAGTTTTGCAAATTGCGTTCTATGATGATCCGACCATCTATTTTAAGTTTCTTACACGATGAGTCATGCAATCGCCGAACCTAATGGAATTGTGAGTGTCTAGCGAGATAAAGTAGCGGCTCAAAAGAGAAAGTGTTATATATTTAGATTGTTCACTCATCGTACCAATGATTTGAGTCAGATCATCATTTTCCATTAGTGTTTTTATTTTCTCGCTCGATCATGCGTAATTTTCCCACTGGGTCCCATTCGAATTTCGCCAATTTCTCACCATTTGTCAAATATAATCGACTGACATCAGAAATGCGACTCTTTGGACGCAATATCAGACTTACGAATTTCATAATAAATGAGGCAGCATTATTGAAATTGTAACGAACAAATGTCATCAAACGTTTGTGTCGCGCTTCGCAAAATTGACACACTCACTCACACACACTTACAATATGAAAAGGTATGATGCAAAGGATCACATTTTATTTATTTTTAAATTCGGGAGGCAAACGTAAGAAAGAAGGAAACTTTTCTCTTTTTTTTGTGTAACAATCGCGTCATTCCTGAATCAAATCAACATCACGTACACCAAATACATCGCGATCAAAGCCAACAAGCAACAAATTAGGCGCATTTTCATCGGCTCACTCAATTTGCCACAGCAATTTTGCAGCATCGCCAAAATCGGTCGGATTTTACGTTCTATGCTAATTTTGTCCAGTTCTATCTCTTGTTGCCAACTGATGCACTAGAAATGATGGTCGTTAAAAATGTATAAATTTAACTGGCGATCATCGATATGAATTTCGATTTTCAAATTAATCAATTGATTTTTGATGAAACAAATCAATTGACACTCCTTTTTTTCATACCATTTAAACTAGATGGTAAATTTATGTTGAAATTGAAGTTTTCTTTTATTTATTTTCCTTCTCTTCTTGGTTATTTAATCATTGCAAAGTGAGAGAAACAATTCTGTATAATGTCATTCACAAAACGAAATAAGGAATGTAGAATGAACGAGACGAATTTAAAAAGAAAACACTACCGAATTCATCGAACGTTGTCAATAGAGCGATTGATTGCATACACTTCATTTAGACGTGAAGGTTGAAACATCGAAATAAAAAAAATCAGATCAAGTTTACACGTTTCGTAGAAAAGCGTGAATAGATCACTTTTGAAACATTCTTTTGGTATGTCGTTGCATCGGTGATTGGTGTTTGCGATGCGCTACGCTGTGTGTTGCATTTTGAAACGCAATTTTATGCATAAAATCACTGCATCCGAATGCGAATGCAATGTTCTTGATTTTATGCGGAATTGATGATTTGCCAACAAATGATTTAGTTCATGCATTTTTTTCGCGATCATCGCTTTTTGCGTACAGCAGATTTCCTCAATCGCATTTATCGCCGCCTCGCTACCTTAACACGTTTGATTGAACTGATTCTTGCGCTCTCGACGACTATAGCAAAGAAGAAGGAAAAAGATCTTCATGCGAGTCAATGTTTTTGTTTTGAATCATATTGCCGTTCATTGATGTCACCCTCTTTGCGTTGCCGCTAAGTAGAAATTATCGCATCGAGTAAAAATATACCGCATGTTCGCAAGTGTGTTAGGCTAGTGTACATAGTGAATTTGAAGTCAGAATAAGACCATGTTGATTTGATCTGACCTTTGTCGAAGGCACCATTCCGAATCGGCTTCATAATCAAATCCATGGGATCGACGCAAAGCATATAATGTGAATGAGCGCGTATTCAATGACACAGAGTGGCGAGAAAAAAAAACTAATACACGCATACACACCGATGGAAATATGCTCACAGGAACAGCTATTTAAAAGCGGAATGCGTGTTTCTCTTCTCTTGTTTTTCTCTCTCTATAAAATCGCGAGCGAACAATTTATTCGCTTCTTCTTTTGACAATGCTATTTTTAGCCAATTTTGTCGCAGAGAAAGCATGCACTCATCGAATGGGAGCATAATCAGGCGGCGAAAATGTTTCGAATCCATACAATTTGTGAATGAGACGTACACCAAATCATTCTATGCATTAAAAGAAAAATGCTATGAAAATGATTTGATTTTTGCGGCGCAATTGAATGAATTGAGATGTCTGTTCCTATTTGGTATAAATTAGACGCCAACACTGGATCTGTGCACCGTTCATGAGAATTACGATCGCATCGTTATATTGATTCAATGACATGTCTCAGTTTATGCGGCGCGACAGTATGAATCAGTCCATTTCGCACCTACAACTTCGGTGCTTGCCAACTCGATGAACATGAACACTGAATAATAAAGCTTCGTGCATGGTATGCTGAAAAAGTTGTTGCCATGTTTAGTGCTGCTGCCGATGAATCAAAGTAACACAAGTAATTCCCTTGCTCTTCCGTGCCATAGCATCCGAATGTAATTATAGCATCGAAAGAGGTGAAGACTCTTCACTAAAGAGAAAGACAGAGAGACCGAGAGAGCGCAAGAGAAACTACAGACGCAAAAACACACCTATCAAAAGCCATACGAAAACGTAACCAATATTTTCGTGTTGACTGGTTCTCATTTTTCTCTCCCGCCATTCGTTTTGCACTTCGTTCAGAGCACAATAATATTCGCAAATAACTTGATTTGTTTTCATGGTTTCACATCTACGCACATTCCATGGAAGCAACACAGTGCCAGAGAGGCAAGAAAGCACTTCAACATTCTCATTTTCCGTTGCACGTATACGGAATTCGCGTCTAGATTTTTTGTTGAGCGTAACATTCTTGATATTTCGCTCTTTTCACCGTGCATGCAATTGACGCCTTTTTTCCCGCCTCATTCGAATTATTCAGTTTGGCTTGGTTTTGATCAAACATTCAATTTGGTTTGTATGTTTTTCACCACACGGAAAATCGATGTCAAAAAATAGAATTTGATACTAAAAAAAACACTCAGTGACCAAATTTCATGCTCAGCTGTTACTATACAAGAATTGTGTGATCTTTTGTTGCCAAAGTTTCAACTCATAAATTCTATGGCATCTGTATCCGCGATGAGTCGGAAAGTGTGAATTCGTAATGCATTGTTGAACTGAATGAATTCAGGATTCGAATCGCATTTAACGTTTTGAGTTGTGGTTTTCGCGTCATACAAACACGCCAACCAATATAATTCATTTTTGATTTCAGTCAAACAATTTACGTCGTTTGTCCTATCCCGAACTTTCGAATTTGAAGTGATCAACGATGATGTTTTTTTTTCGCTCATATTTCGAACATCTAAAAATAAACAAGTGATCGAGTACGATGTGAGGTTTTAAGTTGAGAGGCTATTGGAATTTTCAGCGTTTTTCAGAACGCATTTTAACTTTCCACACCACTTGTAGTAGCCAACAAGTCACACACACACACACACACAACAGGCTAATTATATGATTATGAAAAATAATTTCACAATCCAATTGGTCGATTGGACGAGAGCGAGGGAAGTCGCCAGTTTCGTTTTGTGATTAAGTGATTCGATTCTATTTTAAATGAAATGGATTTCACGGTAATCATGTGGTTGGCTGTAGAAATAGCCGGCGCTATTTTGTTTTTCATCATGCAACATTTCAATTGGCTTCTGAAACTGTTTACTTTATAGTATAAAGTTTATACCAAGATGGAGTTATTTCTGGCAAAGCGCCTTCTGCCATGAACGATTACAAATGAGAATATTGCTCTGAATGAGAATGAGAATAGAAGCGATCGAAAATCCACCAAATCGCAAATTGTCGAAACACATACACACAATGAAAAAAAAAACAATCAACCCGAACTGAGACGAAACAATTTGCGTTGTTCGCTACTGTCGTTGTTTTTGATCGCTTCATTATATCTTTTTTTATTTATTTTAGAATTTCTCTCATTCGGTTGATTTCAATGGTTTGTTTTTATTGCCACCACAAAGATCATGTGTGTTGCAAACGATTTGAAAATAGTCCAAACCAAATAAACCCAAAAAAAGACCAAAATTGAAGAGTACGAATGACGAAAGGTAGATTGTCATTGGCCTGTACAATGACAACACCAAACAAATTCTCCAAAATAAATTTCGTTGTGACATACCAAAATAATCCGTGCGCCGAACAAGATAGCGACCACGCGGTGGATGATTTTTTTTTCGTGTATGATGAATCATGCAATGAAGTCACAACTTTCTTCAATTAAAATGTGATTTCGTTGGGATGGCTGCGAATGGTTTGTTGTGATCGACCACAACCACATAAGGCAATCATTTTATTCCATTCGAAATTGGTAATCCCGCAATGTAGCGATGGTTTGATCGCGCGCAACACTTCGTTGCATCGTGATCCATGTCTCAAAACATAAATAACCGCAAACGAACCATATTTAGTCATTTCATCGATTTCGATTCAGTTCGTTTTTTTTTTCTTTTGCTTCGCATTAACAAGAATAAATTTCATTTCTCTTCTTTTGCTTTCCGATTTCGCACATAAACAGAATTTGCGTGGGTAACATTAGCTACGAATGATTCATATGCATTGGGTGCATTGGTTGTGGCACATTCACTGAAAAAGGTCAACACAGCCCATCAGCTAGCCGTTTTGATCACACCAGGTGTGACACAGTCGATGCGCGAAAAATTGCAAATCATTTTCAATTTGGTGCAAGAAGTTAATGTGCTCGATTCAAAGGATGCCGCCAATTTGGCATTGTTATCGCGTCCAGAACTAGGCATCACCTTCACCAAATTGCACTGCTGGCGATTGACACAATATGAGAAATGTGTCTTCTTGGATGCCGATACTTTGGTGAGTACAAAACGCTTTTTTCCCCCTCTTTATCGACAGATGACAAGAAAAATATGCTTTTGATTAATTTCGTAGGTGTTGCAAAATTGCGACGAATTATTTGAACGCGAAGAATTGTCGGCTGCTCCAGATGTGGGCTGGCCAGATTGCTTCAACAGCGGTGTGTTCGTATTCCGTCCAAGTTTGGATACGTTCGATAAGCTCACACAATTTGCCGTGCAAAAAGGTAGCTTCGACGGCGGCGACCAAGGGTTATTGAACTCATACTTCGCCAACTGGGCACAATCCGATAGTTCAAAACGTTTGCCATTCATCTACAATACATGCTCAACCGCATGCTACTCATATCTTCCAGCATTTAAGCAGTAACTTCAACTTTTTCTTCTTTTTTTTCAATATGATTTGGTCAAATTTGATTCTGACATGGGAAAAAAATGAAATTCATTTCTTTCTGTAGATTCGGCGACAATGTGAAGATTCTTCATTTCATTGGCCAATTGAAGCCATGGGTTATCAACTTCGATCCAGTTGCGAAGAAACCAAACCCACCAGCGGAATACAAACATTTGGCCGAGTACTTGGATTTGTGGTGGAACATTTTCTGCAATGAGGTTCACCCAAAATTGGTGACAAATATGGTGAGTCATTGTTTTGCATTTCCATCCGCATCACACTTTTCTTGACTTTGTATCATGGGACAAATTTCCAAAATTTTTGCTGATCGTTTTATTTTCTTAATTTGGAAATGCCCTTAATTTGAGAATTTTTGGCTTGTATTCCTGCGTTTTTTTTTTTTTTTTTCATTAACACCGAGTGTGACAATATATAATCTCCCTGATATCCCGAATGACGTTTAATTCTTTTTTATTACCCAATATCGCTTTCTATTTCAAATAATAATAGAGTTAACATTTTAATATACTGACCAATCATATCAATGAAATTGTTTTTCTCTCCTAATCACATTTTCAAGTCTGAAACAAAAGATAATGTGGGGGTAAGTCATACATAGACTCAATGTGTGATTTGTTTCATTCGTGAAATGAACAGTGATTGAAAGATCTGATCGCAATTTTCGGTTAAATTTTGTAGGGTTTCGTTGTATAAATCGTCCATTGAACTTGTTTTTTTTTTCAAATCTATTTCTTATTTATTTTTGAATTGATCTTCTCCTTTTTTTGAATGTTAATCGAATGTTAAAACTATTAATCGCAGAATAGCAATGATCGACGACATAATGATGCATCAAGATGGTATGAAAATCCCCAATTCCTTTATGTCCCTCCAATTGAATATTTGAATGTTCAACGAACCACAGAAACCGTATTCCTAGACCCATGGGAAGCATATTATGAAAAGCAAAATACACAAAACGACGCACAATCCGAAACACAAACGGTGTTGGCTGAACAAAGCACAGACAATATTGTGCACACTAGTTCAGAGCCGCAAACAGTTCATGTGGAGCATGAATATGTGGCGCCGCCTGAACAAACGCAATGGCAAAGTAACACAACACAATGTGTTTATCAAATACAAGATGATAGCTGTGACTATCATGAGCAATACCAACCATGTGAATCAACACAACCCGAACAATCGCATAGCGAACATCAGCACACACACGAACACAGCACTCAAAGTATTATTGAAAGTACAAATCAATGTTCCTTACCAGCTGAAACCGAAATCGAAACCGAAATCGAAACCGTATCCAAATCCATTGATCATTCTTCCACCCAAGAAATTCCATCCAATGACAATTTCGTACCAAGTTCAAGTCAAATCGGCGACAATTCGGACGCAAGCGGCAATGATAACAATGATCAGGTGCGTAGATCGTTCGCATTGCATCCATGTATGCACACAACAATCAAATTAAAAAAACAAAAAAAAACATACAAATTTCCTCTTCTGATGATACCAAACAGCTACTTAAATTTGATGGCAACATTATTAAGTTTAGCTTTCAATTCAAGTGCTGAGCTTATGATACGTATTGATTGTGTTGGGCTGGAAAGTAAATTCCGTTTCTGGGAGGGAAACCATCTTCGCTTTTCAAATCTCGTCTGGGTTTAATTTTTTTTTTTGTAATTTCTGTTTGTGCAAACTTTATATATCGATCTATTGTTTTAGTGTGTTTTCGTTACAATTTCATGGTTCGGTTAATTTTTGGGGTTTGTATCTCGTTTCGAAATGAATATTCTGTGTGACTGCACATTTGTGTCCTCTCATCTTATATTCTGTATTTGTGACAAATAGTTTTTATTCGCAAGTAAACTTGATTCAACTAACGTAACATTGTGACTAATCATATTTTGACTCTGTATTGCAATTAACAAACAAAATTGTCAAAGAAATGCTTTGCATCCGAATAACACGCATGACTAAACTCTATCTCTACCATCATCGATCAACACGCACAACAACAACAAAAAATCAACTGCATTAGTTAAACCGATTGAAATGGGAAACTTCTTGCCACATAAAAAATAAATCCTCTTTTTATACTCTATCATTTGATGATATCAAATATGCATCGATCTATTTGTATTACAGTGGGAAATAGTTTTAACTTTGCGATTAAATAGTGAAATTTCTTATTTAAAGAGAAAATGTACAACGACAACAACATCAAATATTTCTATTCCGTACGTTTGACTAATGCAATTCATTTTTTCTCGCTAGTTTTTGTTTCTTCTTTTGATACGATTTTCATGTTTCATTTGGTTTTTATTCAAGACATTGCATGAGTCTTAGTAGAATGAACGGATTTTTTGATGCTGATATTAAACGACGTTGTCTCTATGATTTGTAATCATGAATTTTTTTTGCTATATTTAATTGTACGAACAGGCTGGATTGGCTGGCGCCTTGGCCGGTTTGAAATTGGGTGTTGCACGTTCGGCCGAACAAGAAGCATATGAAAATAATTGCCGACGCAACTACTGGGAGCACGGTAACATCGACTACTTAGGTAAGGATTCGTTTGATAACATCTGGAAAAAGATAACACAAACGTTAGAATCTAAGAACGGATCATCGACGTCTGAGCAAGAAAGACGTGCTCGCACACCAACACCACAACCAGAAGATAAATTGCCAAAAGATGCCAAGAAGGAAGGTAACTAAACCGCATTCAAGCCAAAATAACGAACAATGCGCCTATCACATCACACTTTGCACGCACAAAAAAAACACACACAAATACACACCGTCGTACACACAAACAATTATACACAACACAGGAAGTGGCTGAAGCGCAATCAATACTTCTTTTAACAAAAAAAAACACCGCCAATACTTATACTAAACAATGAACACAAACACAAACACACACATTACGCAAATTAACTTTCATCACACTGTATCTCTTGCTAGGGAAACGCATGATTTATGATTTTGTTTTCTTCTTTTTCTTGTGTAAAATTTCGACACACATACAAATCGCCAGCAATGTATTTCATTATTATTGTTAGCCAAATTGATGTACCGTTACAATTAAATGTTTTCTTTTTTATTGTGAATTCACAATTCAAATTTCGTTATTCACAATGAGAGCGATAGAAGCAAAAAAAACAAGATACAACAAAAACCACTCACAAACACAAATTACAACACAGTTGAGAGAGTGTCTATATGTTGTTCGTTTCATGGTTCATATTGTATTTGGATTATATTTTTTTTTAAATACCACACACAATTTCTGTTTGTAGCAAATTTGCCACCACTTTTTTTTAACAACGGAATATTCATTTATTCTTGATGAGAAACAAAAATGATAATAGTAAATTGTAAATCATGTGGAGAGATTCATTTTCATCACTCAGTAACAATTTTTGTCTAGAAAATTATTTACAAATAATAATGATAATATTAAAAAAAAAATAATCAAACAGATAGAGAAAGAAATACACTTGAATTAAACAGATCAGGATCATAAATTTCATTACCTGTTTTAATTTTAATTTAATTTTTTATTTTGAATAATTTTTTTTTCTTAATTAAAAAAACCAAATTAATTTCAAAGCATTTAGAAAATATCATCGCACAAACTCATTGCTAATAAGCCAATTATTTACTAAAATCGAATTAAGCAAAGTAATTTTAGAAGTCAACACTTAAAATGCCTTACAGCTTGACTAATGCAAGTGGACAATAGAAAGAAAGAAAAAAAAACAACTAGAATATATGTTAGTTTGACTCAATTTTTAATTTTCACACTCGAACACAAACAAAAAATCAAAATTGTAAATTCCGGCTGTAAACGAAGAAAAGAAAATGATCGAAATTGTGAGGGCTGTCAATTTGGATGTGTTTTGATCATTTTTCTTCTCCAAAAGAAAATGACAAACAAAGAAGTTGAAAAAAAAACACGATCGATTGATGCCCAAAATTTGTACATTTTGTACTGCATTTGAGTTCATGATCGACAAACATCAATAATAATGATAATAAAAACGGAAGAAAAAAAAATTCGTCCAAGATCCAGTCTAGTTTTCGTGTAGAAAGAAGAAAAAAAATTTTTGTTTCCTTTTAGAAAAAGAGATGATTAAATGAAAAATTAAATATATTTTTGTGGAATATTTTGGAGTGTTTGTATTAATCATAAATAACCAAGTAGCGTCTCAATTGTGTCTTATCTCACAACACTACATTTTCGTATAGAAATCGCACAAATATTTTCTCCTCCCAAATTGGAAGTGAATGTTATGTGAGCAATTATTTGGAAAATTGTTGATTTATTTTTTTGTCTTTGGATCATCTGTTCAGAAAAAAAAGAGAGAAGTAAGTTTTGTTTTTTCAATGAGTTATTTAATTTATTTCAAAGAATTTTACGAAAGAATGTTTTATTTTTGTGACCGTTTTGATTTGTTGTTTCCAAAAAAAGGCTCTAATTTGTTTTGTTCCATTAACCGAAATTCAATTTATGAATGAATGATTTGCTTCCTAATCGATTGAGTCATGTCAACAATGACTGTGCGATTTGTTTTCCAACTCTCAGCACTTTTATGTGTTTTTCTCTCTCACACACGCGTACACACAAACATACACGTATAAACACACGGCACACACGCACATACAACTCTTCTAAACCACCACCGAAAATTGTTTATATTTTCTCGCAAAACGTAAAACACCCTCGAAATGTGGAATGAAATCCAACATCGAAGGGAACACACACACATACAATAAACACTCAACTTTAATTTCTTTTCTTTTTCTATGAACACAAAATGTAAACCACACACGTATACACACAATGTTTCTGATTTTTTGCTTTTGTTTTCCATCCTTATACTAATCGAAGAAAAAAAAAATGTTTTTTCTGTTTTTTCAAACCGATGTTTGTAACAGGAAACGGGTTATTCATAAATTACCTGCCGCAAAAAGTCAAAAATCGAATCAAACTAAAAGAGCCGTCGCCACAGCCATCACCATCACATTCTCCATCATCTTCATGATGCCAAAAAATGCTACTACGTATTGTGTCGCATATCATCCAGCCAAAAAAAAATCAATCTAAAATTTGTTTGCGTTCAAATTACAGTATCCTCATAATATACTAACATTCTTTCGTCCGCTGCGAAGCAATTTAAAAAACATAATAGATTGCTAATTCCAACAAAAACCAATTCACTAAACATGTAAACCAGCAAATAATTAAGCAAAACGCTGCAACTAATCAACAAGTCAGGCCCATTCGAGACAAACTGTAATTCGAAAAAAAAACCGAAAACACACATCACTTGGCATCGTATGACCAAGATCATCGAAGGATTTAGACCACAAAACACCATCGTCATAACAAGAGCATCTGTACAAATTATTGTCTTCTACATAGTAGATATGGTTGTGCTAATCGAATGATTCACACGTAATTTTATTATCGCATAAATGGTAAATGTTCGTTTGTAAGTGTCGAAATCGTACAAAACAAAAATTCTTTTTGGACAATTCATGATTGTTTTAGCACAACGTCAAAGAAAACGCAGTCAATTCTCATTAAATGTTCCACATTCATTCAATGAAAGATCAGATTCGATTCGTGCATGTCAGTCCATTCTGTGGTGTAAATTCTAAATACAAAGACACCTACACTACACAAACACGAGTACTGAATCCGAATAAAGCCACAGAAACAGACAAACAAAGTCATATCAAAAATATCTTGATAATTTGAAGAGATTTAAATTAAACTGGGTTTTCTTTTACATTGAATCATTGCGAAAAACAAAAAAATAAAAATGAAAAAAAAAAACAGCCAAATTAGGCCCAATAATTTACGAGAGCGATGAAGATGAATACTGTCTAAGAGAAGATATTTCTCTTGAAGGATCCCAAATTAAGGAGCGCATCATTCATGAAACGGCTACTGATGGACGCCAAATTACCAAGAGAATCTGCACACTCGAGGGAACTCAATACGAAGAAGTGGAAGAATGGGAAGAGACTCAGACGGGCGAAAAGAAGAATGTAAAGAATACGAAACGTACAAATCCATTGAAATCACAACCATCATGTGGTGGTAAGAAGCCGTCGCCAGCCGCCGAAGCTGCTCTCAAGGCACTTGTCAGCCAGGAAATCGTTATCGTTCCTGGTCACACCAAGGTTGAGTTTGATGAGAAGAACAACATCAAAACGATCACCGAGAAAACCACTTCTGGTCATCAAATCACCACACTTCAAACCTTCCCCGATGGTCGCACCAAGACCCAAACCAGAACCTTCTACGATCCCATTTCAGTGCCAATCGGAGAAGACGAAGAGTATGAAGAGGAGGAAGAGGAAGAAATCATTGAAGAAGAGAGCTGGCAACCAAGCTCAACCAACACTCAAGTCACTTCGACCAATAAAAATCAACAAGCAAAGAATGTCAATCAACAACAGGTCACCAAGAACACTACTAATGTGAGCAACCAACAGCAACAACTTCAAAAGCAACAACAACAAACTTCAACCCAACAAACAACCAAGCAAGTGTCCCAACAACAACAAAAAACCGTCACCCAACAAACATCGACAAAGACGACCAGCGAAACCCAAGTCCATTCACAAAGCAGTAAGACGCAACAACAAGAACAACAGAGCATTCAGAACACGCAAAACACTCAGAACAAACAAGTTGTCCAGAAGGCTAACAATCCAAATACGCAAGTCGCTGTTCCAAGTGGTCAACCACGCACCACTATTGTTAAGAAGAAGTTGGACACTGGCGAAGAAATTGAAATTCATACAACCATTTCGGCCGATGGCTTGTCGAAGACCTGTCGCCGTATTGTGACCAAGCCAGCTGAAGAATTGGAAGTTACGGAATATGAAGAGACTCACTCATATGAGCCAAACGAGACGAAAATTACCAAAACTTCGCAACAATCGACCACCAAGAAGGTGACCGAAACCACTCAAAGTGTGCAACAACAGCATCAACAGCAGCAACAGCATCACCAGCACGAACAAACCCATCATCAACAGCAAACGATCAAGAATCAACAACAAACCACGAAAAATCAAACCAATGTCACTGAGCAGCAACAACATCAACAACAATTGAAAAATGTTGATACAAAAAATCCAACAGCCGTTGCACCATATGGACAAGACGAATTCGTTGCTGCTCAACACTCGACCCGGCGCACAAAAGTGACCGAATCGGTTACAATGATTGTGCAAGATGAGCACGGCACCTCTGGTGTGACAAAGACCAAGCAAACCGTGAACAAAGAGCAAAATGTGCTCTCTTCACAAACCGGCAAACAAGATCTTGCTACCACTCAAAACCAGACGACGGTGAGTGAGGAAGAGCATGTTTTGAGTGTGGAAGAAATTGAACGTTTGTTGCAACGTCAAACTAGCAACGATAGCAAGCAAATCACTCAAGAGATTTCATCGTTGAGCAAAGATCAAATTGATCAATTGTTGCAACACCACAACAAGACCACCCAACAAATCAAGCAAACGCAACAATCGCAACACACAAAGCAAACCACTCAGCAAACATCAACATTGACTCAAGAACAAGTTGAGGAATTGAAGCGATTGCAACAAATCAAGAAGACCCAACAAACTACCCAGCAAACAACTCAACAGACCACACAGCAAACTACCCAGAAATCCAAGTTGACTAAAGAGCAAATTGACAAACAAGAGAAGGAGATGCGCCAACAATTGGAACAACAGAAGCAGATGTCAAACGTTGATCAACGATTCACCAAGAATCAAAATCAAACCATTCGCACCGAAACGCATAAAATAACCAGCACCAGTGAAAAGACGTTCACAACCACAATGGGTCATGTTGTCACCCGTCCGGATACTTTGCCCGGTGAAGAGACAACCGAAGAAGTGCGATATTTCCCTGGTGGTGTTGAGTATGTCTGGAAGACGGTTCGCTCCGATGGCTCGTCAAAAATGTCAATGAGAACATTCTACGATCCAGTTCCAGTGGACGAAGAGGATGATTCTTTTGGGGGTAAAAAAAAACTTCCAGCTGCACATGCCTCTAATGTCGGCGCTCAGTCAGGATTAAAGAAATAAGAAATGCAAACGAATGAATCTCATTGAGAATGAACGAGATCAAATACGACCTTGATCTCAATCAGGCTTGAGCAATGCTCAATTTTTGCCCAAATCGAAGAAAAAAGAACAACAACCATCACCATTGAGTTCTCGATTTTTAAAACAATTCATGTTTTTTTATTCAATTTATTCTTTTTCTACGCTTTTCATTGCTTTTATTAACAAACGGCTGCATTTCTCAAATTGCGTTTCTTTCGTTTACATTCGCATTTCTTTTTTTCTGATGATGTTTTTTCATAATAAATATAAATATTGTTCCACACATTTTGCGTCGACAATATTTTTTGAAACATGTTTTAGATTGATTCCCGTTAAATAAAAGAAAAAAAAATTAGGCCAACAAAATGTCTTCAAGATTCTCAGAATTTAGTATTATCTTCCTTTTCATTTCTTTCAAAAAAAAAATTCTTAGAATTTATTGTAAAACTAACAACAAATTATCCCCACACACAAAAAAAACAGTCTTCATTTTTTCCCATAAAAAGGATAAATGTGGAGATACATGGATAAAAAATCAAACAATTTTATGAAAAATATGTTACAGTAGATTTTATGAAATTGTTTAAAAAAAAAGGTAAATCAATATTTAAAAAAATGCAATAAAAAAGTTACAATAAAATGAAATCAAAACGAAAATGTTGCGAATCGTTTTAATTGGCTTACATAAAAATTAGTTGGGCTAGGTCAAGGATTATGCGCATGACGATGGGTAAATTCAATTGTATTTTTTCGGTGTAACATTTTCGAAATTGCAACGCACACGCACACACACATACAACTCAGGAATCTTTTATTGGTTTTCCATAACGACACATCGCATCTCGACGGCTGCTCTCAATCAAATAGCTTGACAACGTCTTGAATCGTTCACACATCCATTCGTTTTGCATATTTGTGTTTGTCTTACGCCAATTTGATCTTTGTTCATGCTTATTTTTACTATGTGATCCACTAACAATGAAGGCGCGGAAGAGGAATTGTCTGAGCAATTGAGCCAGTTTGTCTTTGAAATTCGCCTTCAACGATGCGCTTATGTGTTTTTGTCTGGAATGTCGCAACGCGTGCCGCGCACGCTCCATGTGTGTACGACATTATATATTTGGTTACTGCTTCATCCTGTGTAAGTGAGGTTTTTGAAAAATTAATGTATACTTTCCATAAAAAAGGAGTTCGTAGAATTTCCGATGTGGCTACTCCGATCCCAACGATTCCCGTAACTAAAAACGCCACACCTATTGCTAGCTTCGCGCCTATTCAAAAAGTCGAAGAAGCTGATGTAGAATCCAAAGCACCGTCCGAGGAACAGACATCACAAATGTCATCATCGACTGCGGCAAAAACTGAAGTAAAACCCGAAGTAAAACCCGAAGCCAAAACTGAGCCAAAACCAGCGGAAAAATCAATACCAAAACAAAGTTCGCCCAGTGCTGAATCCAAACCGACTGTAACTATTCCGACTGTAACTCCAGCAAAAAAAGAGGGCACACAAGAACAACAGCCCACAACACCAACAGTAACATCGCCCACGCCTCCACAATCACCAGCTTCGGGCAGCACTCAAAGCACACCATTGACCACGACAAAAGACCTTAGTGCCGTTCACGACGTGCCCGATACACCTCCAGCTGGAAAGAAAGCACCAAAAAAAGATGCGACCAAAAAAGAAATACCAAAAAAGAAGAAGTAAACTAACATCATCTTCGTCCCTCTTTTTATTACATACTCAAATATTTCAATTGATTCATTCAACTCATTTTCGCGTCATAAATATTGCAATTCATATATTTAGCTTGATGTTTTAGCTCTTCATTTGAAATAAATGTGCATCTTCGAGATTGTTTAGCCGGATGATCGTTTCATTGTCAATTGTAATCGATTATTGTATTGTGGATAAATGTGAGAATGGTAGGTAATTTCTTTTGTTATAGGTCAACGGGTAACTGTCATTTCGTCTGTCTTTCGCTATTTCCAAAATATGAATAAATCGAAAACGTTAAGTATCACGGAAAAACAGCTCTTGATAGGTAACTAGCATATAAACTCTTTTCTAATGAAAATTCGAATAAGTGTGGCCACATTTGTGCAAACCCGTACATTATCCGAAATCAATTCGCCGAAAATTGGTTGACAGTTAATGTCAAAATTTTGTGCATCAAACACACCGCTGAATCGAATCACCGTTGAATCTAATAGCACCGACTCAATTCGAAACATCTCTGTTCCCGTGTAAAGTATTCGAAGAAAAACTGTTTGGTTAATTTGATTTAATTCGACAATGTCAGCGCAAATTGTTTTTCATGAAATTAAAGGAAATTTGTTCGAGGCACCGGCAGATTTCGCATTGGCTCACTGTGTCACAACCAACATGTCGATGGCGGCTGGAATTGCTCGAGAATTCAAGTAAAAAGCAAGCAGTATGTGATGCAGTCGGATTGAAATTTATTTCCTTGTTTGTTTTTTTCTTTTCCAAATGGGATTCAGATCACGATTTGGTCGAGTACAAGAATTGAAAGATCAGAAAGTCACCGTTGGTGGAGTGGCTGTCATAAAACATGAAACACGATACATTTACTATTTGGTTACAAAAGACAATGCATACAAAAAGCCAACTTACGATGACTTGAAATCATCGCTTGTGGCAATGAAGAATCACATGGTAAGGCGTCTTCATCACCTCCTTAAATTCGAATTGTGGTTCAATTGAATGTGTTAAAATTCCAGGTTACAAATCAAGTAGCAAAATTGGCTATTCCACAAATTGGTTGCGGCATTGATAAACTCGAATGGGCTAAGGTGAAACAAATACTGCATGACGTGTTTGAAGGCGAAACCGTGGAGGTAACTGTTTACAGCCTCTAAGAAATGTAACTCCGTTCCTGCTCACCTGTTACATACATTACCGTTTTTTTTTTCATCAAATAAATTAATACATTTGTTTTTCAAAAAATTTCTATGTTTTATTCATGTTCTGCCATTCAAATATTCGGATTTTGAAATAATGTCTTTCTTGTTCGGAGCATGAAAGCGGGCTGACTGTCTAAACGTTTTTTTTTTTATTTTTCATTCTCACTCACATGCATTTGTGCATCGGCTCTGTAAATTCGCTATCATCAATTTCGATATGGCGATGTCACGATGATGCTTGAAAATATACAGAAAACGGTTTTAGTGGTGATGCTTACGTCGCTTAGAGGTAGAGTATCGATTTGGTGATGATGGTATGTGTCGACCACTGCTTTTTGATGATACCGGTGACGGTGATCTACAAAAACGAAAGCACCGATGGAATGTTAAAAAAAAAATGAAATTCTATCCATTTTGGATATGGCTATACTGGTTGGTGGACTATTAAGATTACCGGTTATATCGTCGACTGCTATCATATTTTGAAGATCTTGATGAGGGTGAGAGGGAGCGGTCATTGAACCGCTTCGGTGAATGCGATGAGCTCGAACGAGACATCGATCGTCGGTGTTTACGGTATCTGCTGGAAGGTGAGGCTGACTCTCGTGATTCTCGTGATTTTTTACTATATCCCGGCGAACGGGATCGACGACGAGACGATGTGTTTCGATTATACTGTGGCGATGGAGAACGTTTTGATTTTTTCAATTTTTTCAACGAATCCACTGGGCTGGGGCTACGTTTTAGAGATGATGTTCGCCCCGATTGTGGTGAATCTTGTTGCAGTTCACGCAACGATCGTTTCATTAGCTTCCTTCGATAATGTTCGCATTGTTGTTGCATCGACCATCCCGATTTCAAGCTCCGCTGCCCCGATTCGAGGGAATCTTGGTACTGCACGGTTTTCAATTCAACTTCTCGCAATCGAAGCCGCTTCTCTTCGTCATAGTCTCGTGTACCTTCGCTATATTCAAAGCTATCGAAACTATCCTCCGACAAGTTTGCCGACGGCTGTAACTCTTTCACAGGATCCAATGTTTCCCACTTGCTTGTTGTTATTGCTTGTGCCTCAATCTGTTCCGGATCCACCGTCTCCCATTTTGACGGTATAAATCCGGCTGCTGCTAGAACAGGGCTGCGGTCGTTTTTATTGCCAATCGGTATACCGTCAATATCAGGATCATCCACTATTTGATGTGAAAAAAATTAAAATTGTTTACCTATCACATGCTACGAATACAAAATATTCTTTCTTCAACTAGAATGAATCACTGACCATTCGAGTATATCCATATGAATAATATCAAAAACTTACATGGAATCCCATCAATGTCATCTTCGTATTCTGAATCAGCATTCTCTTGAACGCGTGCCATCCGCTCTTGTGATGGCGATTCGGTTGCGCTCGATGCAGCTCCAGGAATGCCGCGCATGAATGCGCTTTTGAGTAGAGCCGCACCGTCCAACGGAACGCCATCTAAGTCTTCATCTTCTTTCTCATCGCCCGAACCAAGCAACGGTTCTGGTTCTGGTTGTTTTTCACTCGTCTACAAAATGCGTAATCGTATATTAAAACCAGTCAAGCGTCAGTAAGTATGTTAGTGTTTTCTCATTTGCTTACATGTTGAATGCCTAAATATATTGTTTTCAGTTTGTTAATGAATTCTCGGTCATACACAAGCCATTCTTCCCAGGCTTTCAGCACTTGCACAACGCGCGCCTTAAAACCTTCTGCTTTTAGTCGACTCTCTAAGCTTTTGTACGATGCATTCAAATGTCTGAATATTTCCTCTAGGTATTTTTCCATTCTGAAAATGAATAACTCCGTTTAGAAGCAGAATTACGCCTACAGATGCCCGTAACACTTACGAAGTCCGGTAGAAGCTTGCATTAGAAACCTTAACGGTGCAATTGTGTAGAATATCCGAAACTAGATAAAGCCGTGCAATTTTTTTGCTAATCAATGTTTGTGTGCTTGACATTGATTCTTCGATACATTCACAGATTTCATCGGCCGCATCGGCATGCTCGATACAGAACACCATACAGTCACCGATTTTCGATCGTTCCGGAGATAGGTGGCGTATCAAATCCTCTAATCGATCACGTTGCCTGTCGAAAATACAAAGAAGAATTGTCAAACCGAACTATAATCAAATCAACTGAAAATGAAATGAACAGCAAACTTACGCAGTTGAAAGTGTTCCCTTGCGTATTTCGGGTGCTTCTTCGTCCACAATCAGTTCCTCGGGCATGCCTTGTGTGTAGAAATTCAGCGGTGGTGGTTTCCATATGGAGCCCATTTCGAACATTCGGAATTCTTTTTGGCGCCATTCAGTCGGTGTATCTCCTTGCAGCAATGAAAACAGCTTCCATCGATAGTAGATATGTGCCGGACTTTCGTTCTCAAACAAAAACCTACAGAGTTTTCATTGCTTTTTTTACTCATCTATGATCTACGTGGACTCAAATTGTATAGAATGCCAATTCGCCTTGTGCGCAGATATTGAATAGAGTTCAACGCTTATTTCTCAAACATTAAATCAAATGCATATCGAATCAAGTCCAAATCAAAAATGATGCCAATTTAATGACATTTAACTCATTAAATTTGCTGTGACAATGAACTTATTTTCTTCCACATCGTGTACAAGGTGAATTGGCATTGTGCTGGCGAAAATTGTGAGGGCAAAGTGTTTACCGAAATGTGGGATTGTCGATTTCTTTGCTCATAATCATTGCTTCGAACATTGGTCCTTCGCGAATAACGAATTCGATCATACGATGAATAAGCGCTAACAGCGGTCTGAAAGCAAACACAAAAGAAATTGTTTGCCCGTTACGATTCACGGTTACGTGTTTGTCAGTTTCATGTTGTTGTTGTTGTTGTTGTTATTACGAAACCAAATTGATTTAGCCCATTTATCGCATTCGAATTTCGTTTTTTTTTTTCAAATATTTTTTTGTGTTTTTTTTTTGTTTTGTTTGGTTATACAAGTCGATTTGGAAAAGGAAATAAGAAGAAAAAAACGGGAAACAGAACAGTATCGTGAATATCTTGGCGTATTTGTTGGATAGTGTAAATAAGTAAAAAAAAATTCTACATGAATCCACATTGAATAAAAATGGTCCTCTATCAATTGCAAACCTAAATTGCCTATTTTTCACGAAGTCGATTGACACACTACAAAGAATTAAATGACTAAGAAAATTTGTAGTACATCATTTGCCCTATGAATACATTTTAAATTGTCTCGTCAACAAAAATCTTATGAAAATTTAATTTTCGTTTCTTACAAATGTTTATCCTATTACATATTAGACAAATGTGAACAAATACATTCTTAAGCAATTTCAATCACGATGTAGAAAAAACATTTTGTTTGTTTGTTTTAATCAAATGGAAAAATAAAACCGTTAACAATTTAACTTACCGTTCTGTTGGAATCATAACTTTAACAATACTTTTATAGGCGAGCTAAAAATTAGTTGGTTTGCAATTAATCATAAATTGGAAAACAAATTGTCGTTGAAAAAAAATGAAAAAAAATATAAAAATTAAAATTAATGTCAATGTTTTTGATTGGTATTTTGAAATTTGTTTTTTTGAGATAATTAATTTTTTTTTTTGATATCTTAAACTAAGTAACGAAATGAATCAAAGGCAAAAAATGATGTTTGGTTGTTGCTTTTTTTTGGAAAATTTCGAAAGAATGAATCTCAACGCAATACTTGTGCGTAACAGTTAAATAATTTGAGAGAAAGGGAGAAATTAATGAGTAATTAAATACCTCTTCCATATCACGTTTTATGTCTGGATCTTTGTTGTAATCGTGAAAATAATCTGGCGGTGGAAACTGCGTGTATATAATTGGCAAATGATTAATTTCAGCTGATTTGAGAATTTCTTCAATTTTGTAAACGAAATGCGAATAAATGGTTGGGTCCAATTTGTGATGAGACAAATGTGCTCCCATTGCATTTTCTTTTTTTTTTTATCTTATTTGGTTTTTGTTGATTTTTTTTTTCGGGTTAATTTGGATGTGCGATCATTGAAATACAACGATGCAATGGTCATTGTTTCAATGCGCCACAATACATTGGGTTAACTTACATTTTCGGCTTCGTTTGGCTGGGGTTGAGCATTGAAAGGCAATCCTGATGGTGCCGGTGGCATGTAGTGTTGCATTAGAGTGGGCGGTATGTAAATGGGATAGGTCATAATCGAAACGGATTTTCCCCAGCCAAGTTTCATTTCATAGCCCATGACATCGCGTCCATTCAAACAGCGCAGAGCCCGTTCGGCATCCAAACGGCTCATATAGGCAACGAAACCACAATTTCGCCCACGTTGCTTCTCCTCTTCGGAGCGTGGCCACATAATTTTGATGCTTGCCAATGGACCGTAACGACCGAAAATTTCCATCAATTGTTGCTCGGTTATTTTTGGACTTAAATTCCCTAGATAAATGTTTGTTGTGTTTGGATCACCATTATCCATGGATCCATATGTCGTTGGTGCGACATCCGGTTCACGTGTAAATGCCGCTAATGTTGTATCGGCATGGATCATAGTCTTTGCAATCGTCTTGTACTTTATACGCTCTTCACGCTCCTCTTGCATTCTGAAGTGAAAAGTGCTCGTTAGATGTAATCATTTCAAATATTTGTAGAAAATGAGACAACTTACTGTCGTAATTCTTCTTTAAATAATTCCAAGTTACTCTTTTTTTTCTCTTGAGTTTTGTTTTTTTTCGAGGAACTTTCTTTCTTTGAGGCATTGGTTGATGATAGCGTTGATGGCAATTTTGCCGTTTCAATCGTCTTTTCAACGACTTTTTCTTCAAGTTTGGCTTGAGGTTTGTACAGTTTTCCTTTTTCCCGATTGTCTTCCTCTGTTTTAGCACACGGCAATGTTAATTAGTTTTCATCTCAGTGTGGTAAATACGATCAAATGCATGCAGACTTATCATCTAAACTTACTTCGTGATCCAGCATCGTATGTTCCGGCTTTGACCCATACTTTTGTCACCGATGACGGTGCTTCTTGGAAAGTTTCGACAAACTCTTTGAATACCTACAAAATCAACGAATCAGTTGGTTAAATCACTGTTTTCACGACACAAGACCATTTGGTGGTTCATTTCACATACAGATGCAGCGGCTTGTTCCTCCTCTCGTTTCCTGCGTTCCTCTTGCTCGCGCCGTGACAATGGCCTCTGTCCCATTGCACCAATCGCAAACGCCTGAAGTTTTTGCTCGGCTATTTTCTGCAATTCGAACCATTTTTATTACGTCAAAATTTCACTATGTGATGTGTCGCAAACTCATGCCACTTTTTTCCGTGCATTTCCCATTAATATATATTTTAATGCACTCATAAAATGGCATGTATTGCAAAAAATGTCGCCGACTCTATCAACCAGCCAAAACAAATCGTAACGATAGCATACCTTCATTTTGGAAATAGATTGTTGTACTCTTTATATCATTCTAATCTCAATTGAATTGTAGTGTCCAGGCAAAGAGTTTGTGGTGAAAATACAAAAACTCTGGAACAATGTTGTTACTTAATGTCGATAGGCGTTTGTAAACATAACCTGTTAGCGCTTAGATAATTTGATTTATGTTTTGGAAAAATGTTCAAATCCATCCAGAACATTCATTTATCAATGATAATAATATGCGTAATTTCACGATTGTAACTCTCTGTTCTTGGTCAGCCGAAATGCACTCAAACTAAAATGAATGGAACAAAAACTTTTTGGTACTAAATCAAATTCTCAAAATAGCTTCTTTGACAATCAATCTCTGGTATGAGAGAATATAGCAAATACGACAAATGTAATTAAAAAACAACCGTATCCGCCTAGTGGTGTGTCGCTCAACTACAACAAATGCCATCGCCGCTGTCATTCCATGTTTGACATTTTCGATGGAGACGACACCGTTTATCGTACGTTAGAATTGTCACGTTCACATTTTTGGCGCATTTTCAATTATACATTTCAAATTTACTTCAATTAAATGAAATATTCTCGTCTTTTTCTCATAGCATTGACAATGAATCGATTAATCTTTTGCCTGTAATTACTTAATGAAAGTTGTGATCCATATAATTTGATTGCCTCGACTTTTCCGTAAAAGTAATCGATAATTAGTAGTTGGTAAAAGGTGCATTGCATATTCGGTTAATCATCACGTTCGATTGGCATTTTCCCTAAATTCAGCATCCAAATTTGATCGATTCCAAGAAAACGCCCATTTTCAACTGCGATTAATAATATTCTGAATTTGGTTTTCCGATTTTGCGGCCAAAATCAATGTCATCCATCACAAAATCGATCGAAAGGTTGTGACATTAACTTTTAGAAAATCGTCTTTTTCGGGTGATATTCATTCTGCATCATACCCATATACACCTTTCACCGGAATTGTCTGAAAATCTCCGAAACAAAAATGGTTAACTGTTTTATTTCGAAGAGAATAATTAATTTATTAATTGGTCTTCGATGAATGACAGCTCGTCCATATACAAATCATCCACATGCAATCCGATTAAAAACCATTTGATACAGCCAGAATGAAATGCGTACTTTTGAATTTCGTGGATGGACAACCGGCACGACACTTTGGCATTTTACCCATTGCTACTTTCGAAGAAAATGCCAACGGTCAGCAGTGTATTTTTTTCTTATTATTTTGATAGCTATTACGTTATCATATTATTTGCCATATTTGCAAATACGTACATGTATTATATTGTCCAAAATCCGTTTGTTATTTTTAGATAATTAATTTGGAATTTTGATTATGACGCCGAACATTTAAAAAAAATTATCTCACGAATTCCATCCGAAAGTCCGAAAGTGTTTTGGTTTTCTTGATTTGCGTGTTTTCGAGTAAGAGAGCATCCGATTTGCATACATTTCGATTGTTACGTTGGTCCAAACAAATATCGGGTATATAAATATCTGTTGATAAATTTTAATTAATATTTTCCCGTGTGAAAAAGAAATGACTGACTGACTATAACTTCAGTTGACTTTAGTTGATTGAATTTATATTTTTGTTCTAAGAAAATCACTTGGTCCCAAATGAAGCAACTTAGATTGACTTGTAACTTCAAATGATTTCAGTTAACTATGATAGACTTACACTACACTTTGTACTGAAATGTTAATCAAAGTAAGTCATTTTTGTCCCAAATTAGTTAACTGATTTTAACTTAACTGAACTATTTTTTCGCACGGGTTACTTCATAAGTTTCGAATAAAGACTTGGACTTTTATGAATCGAAAGTAAATCCGTTTGTCGTCTAATTTTAACTGAAATGATCGACCTGAATGATACATACCTACTATTTTTAGTGAGAAAAAAAAATCCATTTTAATATTCGTGAATGTCAAATCACAAGATTAAAAGCGTTTAACATTGGTTCGGATGATTTGTTCCACCTTGCAGATTTTCGCATTGGATTCGAGCAATTTCCAAATTTATTCGCTAGAATTTTGAATGATTTTCGTGGTTCGTGTTTTTTATTTGGCGCTCAAATTGAATGGCATCGTATTTGCTTGAAAAATTGATTAATCACTTGCTGATTACAAATTGGTCTGACGCAGACCAATGCCGTTCAATGCCTAATTATATGTGCTCTTTTAACGTACTCAATGCGAAATATTGGAATCAATCCCAAAAACTATCGTGTGTCATTGAATATGGTGCTGTGCATTCCAATGCAAGTTTGGCCAATTTGTATATTTTTCGGAGAAATACTGAATGAATTTCAGAAGAAGAAAAAACGGCAGATATAATTTTATCGATTATTTACACATGGTAATTATGTTAAATTTGCAGAGAATTGATGAGTCCGCACATGAACGTGTATATACCAAAAATTCGACCTCACGCACCGAACAGAACTTCAAATGTCAGTTGAAAATGTTATCCAGCAAAATGCGCTACAATTTTGTCCAAATGTAACAAAGTACATTCGACGGTTGAGAATGAAGAGAATAAGAATGCGAAGTAGAGGAGAGAAGAAAAAAAATTACTTACAAACGAGGTAATAATGATCCAGCACATATTTCACACACAATAATATGGCGTATTTTGATTTTTGTTGGTTTTTTATCGCTTCTTCTTCTCTCTCTCTCTCTCTCTCTCTCTCTCTCTCTCTCTCTCTCTCTATCTCTCTCTCTCTCTTTCTGCATGGAATTCATCCAAATTCGTTTCATTTTTCTGGTAAATATGCATATACACATATCGAGCTCGGTAAGACGATTACTGATCGCATCGCTTGTTCCACACACAGCGGCGGTGGGGTTGAATTGGCAAATGGTTGGCAGCAACAACACCATACATAATGCATGTGACGACGGTGAGGAGAGAGAGAGCAAACGATCGAAGAAAACTGGAAACACAAACGAAACAGAGCAATACATTGAAATAAATAAGCAAAAGTAAACAAGAGTCGAATCGCTTGCCGATTTTAAATCAGTTTAAGTTGAAACACGGTCCGTAACAGTAACCAAATTTCCAACCGCAGCGCACACTCAGCTGAGCAATTTCTCAGTTTATCGCCTATTGACTGTTTCTACAAATCAAACTTTTCGTTGTTTTTTTTCTCTCTCTCTCTCTCTCTCTCTCTCTCTTCAAAGGTTAACTCTACCTCACGTGTGCACTCTATCATATCAATTGTGCGTGTGTTTATCGTCGATCCAGCCAAAAATTTGTGTGTGTATGTTTACAAAATATATTTTTTTAAAGAAAGAAAGAAGAAGAAATAAGCGCGTAGTAACATTCCATTATTAGCAACGTGAAGTGAACAATTAGCAAATTTGATTGCAGTTTGTTTTTTTTTTCAATTCATTTATATATTTTTAATACGGAAAACTCTTCTGTGTACGTATGCTTTAAGCAAATAATCAATTCATTTTTTCAGCAATAGCGTAGATTTTGTAGATCGATTGTAAGCGGGTGACTTCAGTTTGTTTTCCAGTTAAAAATAAGTCGATCACTTGTGCCCTCGATCATGGCTCTGGCAACGTATTGACCATTTCGTGGGGTCAGCAACTAATCTGCTGGAATTCATTTGAAATTCAAATGTGAAATTGATCTTCAAGTGTATCTCATTAAAAATGTTAAGTAAACGGAAGTCAGGTTATTCCTGTTTTCTGCATCAATATAATTCGGATTAAACTCATCATTGTTCAGTTTCCGCAACAAAAACAATCAAAAATATACACTTTCGATACACAGCGTACAAAACATCAAAACATCATCTTATTTCGCTTTTTTTCGGTTCGAAGATAAAAATAAAAAGATGCAAATCACAGTCGAAAAACTCATGTTATTATCTAACGGCCCATTTTTGAGCTTATAATATTCATGAGGCACTGACAGCTTAATTGAAAGACTTTTCACTTCATGCAGATGCGAATTATCATTTTTACTTAATCTTGTTTTCCTTTTGCTGTTTTTTTCTGCTTTTTTTTTCTCTCTCGGCTGATCAGCGTCATGCCAGAATCGCTATAAATGAAATAGGTTCTTTTTTGAGCATATGGAATTCATCATCGTACGAAATTGTTCGCTTTGGGCGATTAATCGTTTTTCAGTTACCAACCATCGATTTTGCATACGCAAAACGTTGGGTAAATTTGTCGTTAACATCCTAGACATATCGGTAATAAAGGCCTAGTGATAAAAATAGGTTCAGAGTTGAAATTACAATCGATTAGCAATTTCGCTAAGAACATTTGCAAATCCATGACCAGTCTTAAAAAAGAATACTAAAATAGTTACTTGGTGCGGGGAAATAAAGCCGCAGAATAAATTTAGTGACAACGAACGGGAAGCACGCGAAACAACGCATCGTTTTCGTACCCGGAATTCATTATCATTTCATTAACATTGCATTCATCTGTTACTATTTTCTTTGGCGATGATGCGATCTCTCCAAAACTAAATTCAAGTAAGTATCGGCATTTCCGAATAAGGTATCAATTGGGCGTTATTGGCATATTTTAAAAGATTTTATCAATGTCTTTTGTGGTCAATGGATGGACAATCGATTGATTCAGGTCGCATTTTTGAGTCGAAATTGAAAGTATATTGTCGTCGATTTGATGGGTCTATAAAAGCCCAACATTCCAACATTTCCATCACATTCCAAACATTTAGCGAAAATGGTGCAAACATTTCATCTTCTATAGTCATTTCGGATACCCAAAAAATGGTTGAGGTAACCAAACTTTCATTTTCATTAAATTACACAAAATGAGCAGAAAACAAGGTAGGCACAAGTGATTCAAGCAAACTGACCGAATGCTCAATGAAATTTGTAATTTATTGAAAAAGGAATTTGTTGTACACATTTTTTTTTCATGTACACATAATTGCTTAACACCTTGATCAAGATTTGACAATACATGACCCAAAATGATTCGGAACTAAATTGTTGCCAAAGACGGTACCTCAATCGTTTTCACAATAACCAACCAAATACAGTACCTGCTAAATGGAATGCGTTTGTCTGCAAAATGAATTCGATACAATTGAACCGAAGCACACATGCATACCCACACATCTGAGCAACAGCCGAAAACTGCGTGTGCAGCAACACACAGTAGTGGCAATGAATATTTCCATTTTAAAGAAAAGCATAAGAAATTAAAGTAATAGATAATCCACACTATATATGTGTGTGTGTGTGTGTGTGTGTTGAATATTATATAAAATTTGAATAGGTAGCGGCAGTAGTGAAAATGATGAATACGTGAAAAACTTGAATAAAAATTCCGTATAGTTTACGCTGCAAACATTGTAGCTGCTTGCAATTGCTGACGAATATAGCCACAATGGCCTGAAGAAAAATGAGAGTGAACAACACATTTTTTGAACATGATTCCACGCTGTAGTGGATTAACCATATCTTTTTTGCACTAAACATACACGAACGCTACTTATATCGAACACGAGTACTGGCTTATTGTGCGGCTGAGTTTCGCGTGTATGTTTGAATGGGAATGGAAGACCATATTCTGTGGGGTATGAGGCTTCGTGCAAAATATCTCAAATGGTGCAGAACAACGAATTGAACACTTTAAGCCGAAAATTAACCGTTGTTAACAATGGGCCGGGGAAGTTAGCAAATACAAAGTTTATTAAAATTTCATCAGTTATGAGCGGATTTGGGACGAAATGTTAGACTCGGTTACAACGAAAACATACATCTATCTTAGCTGCAATGTAACACAAGAAATATTCAGCAATATTTCGGATGAACGTAGTTTCTTATTCAAAATTGGAAGAATACTCTCAAACTTCAGCGTTGAAATAAGTGACACACAGTTGGTTTAAACAAACAATCATTCTGCCATCAAATGTGAGTTCTCACACGCAAATATTTGGATGATATCAGAATGGCTAGAAGAAGAGACAAAACTATATAAATTAATGTAAAAATTCACCTTCAATTTATGTTTAACTTTCGGCTTAACAACTCTTTATTATATTTTCCATTCATGTTGGGCAAAATAGTTTTTTTTATATCATCAGTTGAATGGACTCAAAATATTATATTATACGCTGAAAATCGTAGTAATTCACGTGTTGAACGAATTGGAATCGTGTGTGTGTTTGTGTGTAAAAAAACATCTCATTCGTAAGTCATTTGCCCGAGATATCTAACGTATTCGGTGATCAAAATGATCACATTATAAAATTTCGATAAACTTCCCAAATTGTTGCGTACGCTGCGATGATTCGTAAAACAAGTTTCATCTCTATCAATTCCATAAAATTCACGGACATAGGGAATTAAGCACGATATTTTTAGTGCGATTTCGACACAAACAAACATCGCGAGATCGGAAATTCAAGACCATTCGATGATGATAGTTCAATGAATGGGTGAGTCTAGTAAATCTATATATACGATTACCAAATTACCTTTTGGGCCATGAATAAGTCTGTAAAATGTGTGTGAAAAAAAACACAAAAATCCGAATAAATTCAAGGTTAATTCGAAACTTGTTTGTCTAATCGATCCTTTTTCGGCAATCCGGAAAGAAAGAACTTTTACCACGTGCGATTTCGACCAGAAAAACCAGAAAAATTTACATATATACAAATTGATTGCCAAAGATCGTTCACGTCAACCAATTTACATTGACTGTTGCTATTGAAAAAGCCGAATGAAAGGCTCATGAGATCAAGGTGAAAAATGTGCACAAATGCCAATTTGTTAAGAAAATATTGAATGAATCTAGAGCCGCAGCAACACATTATATGAACTTATGCCGAAAAATTCAGGCACAATCCACAGGTTTTGAGTGAACAAAAGATTTGAAATGTCTGATAATCAAGCAAGCGTCGAACCTTTAGATCGTTCGACGATGCGAGTGTTCGAGGTTGAATTTCCGAATAGCAGTTTATGCAGTTCTTGTTGTGTGTTCCATTTACTACAATCGACAACAACGAATTAATTACATTCAATTCAAGAAGATTCGATTGTTGGTAAGCACAAAACACGGGAACAAGGCAAAATCACGCAGGAAAAAAACAAAATTTTTCATTCGTTCTACTGCATTCACACAATGGAATAGAATGAAAATATTAAATTGTGGTCATACACATCTTTAGCGTGTGTCAAATGGAAAATTTCTAACCAGTACCCAATGCAATTCGGTGGCAATTCGATGAGCAATCAGCCATACCACGATATTAATTGCTCAATCAAAAAATGTTTGCATTAGGCTTGCCCCCCCCCCCCGATACCGAAGGCAATACGCAAGCTCAAATAAGCAAATGAAATTCGCCATGTGGCGATCGCATGCATACTCAATGCACTGCCATTCAATAAGAACCGAAACTGAAAGCAATCGCATTGCAATACGAATATGCTCGCATTCAATGCAAAGCCCAATAACAAATCAAAACATGTTTTTTCTACAATTTCCATTTTGATGTAAGACAACACATATGTACGTACGTTGCGCAAATACGATTCTGTTTTTTTTTTTATTCATTTCGAACGAAGGAAATCCACCAAGACAACCGATGATATGGAGAATGACTGTAGTAACGGTATTGACGTCACATCTTGATCGATATACACGGACAAACGCACAATGCGTCCGCATCTCAATTTCGCACATTTATCTTGTATTATTTTACAATAAGAACAAAAAATCAGTGGCATTTGAATCAATTTTTGAACACGGTTCACATCTTAATAATGATTGATTCCAAATCGTCGATGCTTTCGCTTGCAAATTGCGTCACTCTGTTTTGATTCGCAGGCCCACAAATGACGCGTGGTTTCACAATAGCTCTTCTCTTCTTTTTTCTATTTTTCGAAGATTTAATCAGTCCAATTCATAGCCAATTCTATTTTTGGACAAAAATTTGGGTTTTTTTTAAGTTTATTTGTATGGGGAATATTTCCGCTCATTTGATATGAACGATCAATTCGAGTCTCTTCAGTGGAGAACTGCTCGTCTTTAGCGCCATGCAAGCATTGTTCAACACTACTTTGTAGCTATTAAGTGTTGCGTTGGCCTGGAGGATGTGGGAGGCACTTCTGATTTCAACAACTCTCTTACTGCTCTTCTGAATGCGACCAAAACATAAGAAAAAACTTCCATTTCCTTCTAAATCACGGAGGACGGTAACCCGACAAGTGATGCTCCATTCTTATTTGTTTAAATCAAATCTTTCTCTGTTTGACTTTTTTCCGTGTCACTTTTTTCAAACCAAATCAAATTAATTCGAGAAAAAAAAACAGTTAATAACATCATTACTTTAATTGGATTGTAATCACGACTTTTAAAATGTGCGTGATAAATAATTGGCCACGACAATAATTTAGCATAAAATCATGTGAATAGAAAAAAAAGCAACGGCGAAAAAGAAATGTCATCGATTAAGCTCGATGTGTGTGTTTCAGCACGTAATCACCATCTGCATTTTTATTGCTCCCTATCACATTGCTTACAACTCTGATAAAAAAGATCATAAATAAATTGTCGATTTTCGCGTTGTCTCCAATTTATTTGGTTTCATTGATTCGCAGCAAGCAATTAAGCGGTGGCTGAAGTTGCCGAGATTCAATATCGAAATCATGCAAGTGGACGGGAGATTACTGCGCATTGCAGCAACATATGTGAACTTGTAATTCGGTATGTATGCTCCCCGCCAAGACGTTTACACATGTACAAATCATTTTGAACACTTTGCGCTGGTCACTTATCGAAAATGCATTTAATTTATTATGGTTGGCATTGTTTTTCTGTCCATTTCGGCATAAACAGTCGCTTTGTAATTATCATCATATTTTATGATATTCTGGTCTGATGCACGTCATCTCCTCGGCATGAATGTACAAAAAGGGAGAATCATATCGAATGACGCTGATCCAGAAGTAAATCATTTTATGCTATTTTAATGGGCTTTTTCTTCTGTTGCTTGTTGTTTTGGTGATGGTGTCGCGTGGCTCTTTGTCATTTGTTACTTTTTGTCATCAAAACGTAATGATTGTTTTTATTTAGCATTAATTACTTTAATTTACTTGCACCGGGCCCTACCTCAGTGTTGCCAAATACCATGGGAAATTGTTAAATGTCTTGGGAAAATGCAGCAATTCAGCTGACATCGTCCTCCATCGCATTCTGTGAAATGGTCGAAAACGAAGAATCGCCGAGAGTTTCTTTTTCGTTTTTACAAAGCTCTTTAATTTTTTTGCAGCAGCAAGACAAAGATAATTTCGATGACGGGAACGAGTGACCCAAAAAACCCGTCTTTTTGAACATATTCGCAAGGTTTTCGACACTGACGAACGAAAAACAAAAACTGGCCAATGAACGATCTAAAAATATTGTTTATATTTACATGAGCGACCTGAAACCGCCACATGCAAAATCATGGAGGCAAAATCACCAGTGAAAGTTACAAAATACGATGCGTGTGTATGTGTGTAGCGGCTAGTGTAATAAAATTACAGCCACTGGTATTTGAGCATTGCATCTTATTTAGGCGAAAAAGAGCCGATATCCATGAACACGATAGCATTCAAAACAAAATAAACTGAACCGAAAATTCGCATACAAAACACTAAGACTCAGTGATTTGGTTTAACTGCTCGCACGGTTCAGCAGTGTCGATCGCCTTCGACCATTCAACAGAAACTTCATGCGATGGCACACACACACACACACACACAAACGCATATACTTTTTGCTTGCGGTATTGCATAAATTTTTTTTTGTGTGGCAGCCACTTTGTAATCATGAAATACGATGACGTTTTTCCCTTAACAAAGTCAAATTTATGGTTTTTTCTTCATTTGTGATTTCGATATCAACGCATGTGTTTTGGATTCACAAGATTTTCCGTTGAGAAAGAAATATCAAATAGGTAAAAATCATCGCAACAAAATCATCAAATTGAGCCGAACTCCAAATAAATAACACGATGCTTACGAACAATATTTCGTGAAGACTTCTTGTCTCAACGTTTTTTTGTATGTATAATCATTCAAATTTGCATTGCAAAGTAGGGGAGCAATCGTCAAATTGTGGCAAAGTAAAACAAGTTTCAACTTGTTCACCCATTCAGTTCAACCATTCAGTTTGACAGGTGTGAAGTGACGATGTAAATTACAAACGCCAGACAAATGAATGTAATTTCTCCGCATTTCATGGTCATTAATCCGTACTAGAACCAAGAAAAATATTCTCATACAAAAGAATGGCTGCTTGCGCTTTACTTGGTTCGTTTGAACTCCTAAAAAGTCATTGAGATTTGTGGTTGCGCTTCTCGACTTTGCATTCGACTTGGAAAAACGTAGCCAAATTCAAAGCCCGGCATAATTATGAACATAATTGCAGCAATTATTCGGTGAGCAATTCAAACCAGACTCGCGTCGAATTATAACTTAATTGCCATTTTAATTCCAATTTTCTTAGGAGCATTAAATAAACATTGAGACATCATTGAGCGTTTGAACGATCATAATCTTGAATAGAATTTAAGTTAATTCATGTTCTGTAATTGGTCGGTTTGTTTTTTGCATTGAAATCATTTGAACAATTTTTTCAGTATTACTTGCAGCCAGTGAAAAGTACCACATCATACAAGCGACCTTAAGTGGCCGTGAAACCGTTGCAAATTGAATGCATTTCATGTGGATTTGGTTCTTCAATTTAATTCGACAATGATCATTCTGCTCGATCGAATTTGTTTGGAGTAAACAACGATTTTCTGAGCCGCCCATCGTTTCTCTTGCTGATGGTTTCCACGAGAGGCTAGTCACAATTTGGACATTCTTAATTAAATCACGAAAGGCCACTCTGTCGATGGAAGAGAGAATGTGTGATGGCTTATCGCAGCAGACGTATATATACTTAATGAAACTCCATTGCAACAACAGCCAGATTTGCACGCTTCAGCTGTCACAAAAGTGTTAATCATTAAACAGATTTCAGTTGAGAAATTATTATTCGAATAAATCAGTGGCCAAAACAAAAATGAAAGAAAACAAAAATGGGAGATAGAGAGAGAGAGAGAGAGAGAGAGAGAGAGAGAGAGAGATCAATTTGTTGTTACCATCTAAGTTTATACGTTATTCAAGAGGTATTACATGAAACGATGCTATTTTTATTCATTCACTAAAATGCCAAAATGAACAGATCGAAATTCATCTATCGGTCACTTTCAACCAAATACTTTTTGATTTGACCATTTCGTTAAATTTTTATGCACATTCGGGCCATTTTCAATCAGTGTGGTTACGATAACACGGAATTAGGAATTTACATCAAATGCGGTAACAAAAGCTGAATGATCAATGACCAAATGTGGTTTTTTTCATCCGATCTCGGGCTTAGATTTTCACCACTTTCTAATGGAATCCATAAATTTTTACATTTTGATTATGTGATTCCGTAGATAAGAAAAAATGTCCATCTTGAACTTTGATACCGGACACACTCTTAATGAGAAACGAATATAATTACTTCTTCATAACAAACAAATTTTTTTCTGCATCTTAATATAACTGCAACCATGGGTGTTGAATGTCATTCAATGCCACTAATCGGTAGACATGTCTCTCCGGCTATACGGCAAACAACAGAACCAACACTGAACATGAAAATGACATGTTCAATTGTGTTTGTTTCGTTAGTTTCAACTGTGCCGCTACGAGAGGTCACTTTTGACGTTTTTGTTGTTGTTATTTTACATGTAGAATCAATGGTATTAGACGAAGATGACTGCAACAAAAAAAAAGATCTCTTTTTAAGCATCGACAGCTGCAATACAATGCTGTAGAAAAAAACCCAAATCATTCGATTGTCATTGTGTCAATCAATGTTATTTGGCCGCATGAATTTCTGATTATGGTCATACTTTGTTTAAACAAAATGACGTTTATTTGAAAAGTACCCAGCATTGGTACCAAATTTTTGTCATATGTTTTATTCATAAATATAAATTAAGTAATTACTGCGATGTTTTTCACTCCGATTTGTTTGGATGTTTTCGCTTTCGAAATTGGTCAAATATTTCCATAATTAAATTTCGACTCTTTTTTTTTGTTTCAAGCATCGTACATATCAAATGGTGCCACCGACCAGCCTCCTCATGAAGAAAACAATAGTGTGAGCAGTGAGAGTGATCAAAAATATGCGTACGAACGCATTTATTTTAAATGCCATAGCGGCCATAACTTCAATCGCATGCAAACAATGCATTCTTGCTTGAATTTTTTCTTTCGTCTTACGTTTTTGCCGTTATTTTTGTCTCGAGTTTTCATGCACCTCCAATCGAACGGTTATGCTCATTGGGTTGGCAACGCATAAATGCGAATTTAAGATGATGAAGGTCGCATCGTAATTATTTATAATCAATGTTACTGTATCATGAAGAAAGAAAAAACTGGAAATTAAAAACGCACAAATCGCGACTCAATCGCGACTGCGAGAACAAACAAACAAACAAGAGTGTGCCATAGTGAATTCCAGTTTAAAAATTGACACAAACAAGAAGTGAAACAAAACGAATTTATGGCGTGGCACGGTGCGAATCTAGCTAGACGAAATTCATGGGCTTTCATTCACTATTTGCTTGCAGACTCTCTCAATGAATGTCAATATGTGATGACATATCCGTCTTAATTACATCTATCCAACGAAACAAAAAGCCAACATTTGCATTGTACTATTGATTTTGTCACATCAATTAGCAGGGTCTAGTTATCAGTTAAAAGTATCTATCGAGACAGGCTTGAGCGCGAACCGCATCTGTTACGTAGCAAAAAAAAAAACCACACTGACATTGATGTGATATTCATCGGTGTCTATGTTTGCAGTGTGTTTTGATTGAGTTGTAAACGTACATCGTTCATTGATCAAATTTAGCATGCACATTTTTACAATGGATAGGCATTCACGAAAAACAACAATATATAAACAACATCTTGTACGGGTTGTCTTCGACAAACTTAGACGCAAGTAATGACTATCTGATTAAATGATTGAAAAGTGATTGACCTAATGATGAAGAAATTAAAACTGCAAACAAAAATCAAAGTGTGAAATTAAACCAAATCAGTGCTAATTGGACGTGATCAGACACGGCTAAAAATGGACTTAGAGAATTCGCAAAGAAAACTCTGCCGAATAACCGTTTTAATTTCGTGCACTTTTTATTTCATTCCAGATAATCAATCAAAATGAGTCGTTCGGAGCAATTAACGCCTATACAGGAACTGTACAAAGGAAAAACAATCTTCATCACCGGAGGTTCGGGTTTTATGGGCAAGGTAATTCATTTGATCTGATGGCCGAAAATATATTTCTTGTTCAGACAGTCCGCCGGTTTTCTTTAAATTATAAATTCAAGAAGCTGAGCTATTTTCCGAGGCACTTAATACTATTTATTTTATCTTTCGATGCAAATCGATGATGTAGGTTTTGATTGAGAAATTGTTGTACTCATGCTCGGATCTGAAGCAGATTTACTTGCTGATTCGTCCAAAAAAAGGAAAGTCGCCAGAATCGCGTATTGAAGATATGTTCAAAATACCGGTAAGTTGAGTGTAACGTTTTGTTTTCATTATTCCGAACGACAAAAATATCAATAAATCGTCACATGGAGTGTCCATAATATGTTGGTCATTGCGTAATTTGCGTCTGATTTTGAGGCATTTTCGTACGGCTGTGTCATTGATTTCGTTCATGTCCGCTCAAAATTGATTCAATCTGCAGAAGCGCACCCAATATTTCCATGCGCTCTTGAAAAACTGTTCGCATACTTAAGCGACATAGTATTTTCAAGTTGATGGGCCCATGGCAATGGGATCACGAACCAGTAATAAATTATGCAGTGAAATGAACGCCGCATCCCATATGACATTTATGACATAAGTGGTCATGCGTATTTTGCAGCAGCAGCAGACAATGTCGGAAAATTGATGTCGTTGCAAAAAACAATTTCTCAGTCGCTTTTGTTTTTTTTTTCCTCTTGAATTTAATCATGTGAAAGCAATTTGCATGACAATATTAACGGATGAAGAAAAAGCGTCCAATATAATTACTAAATCTATGAAATTTATTTTTAAATAATGTTCATGCATAATTTTAAATTCCGTTGTCGAATTGTTTTTTTGCGGACACCCAATCAAGATGTCTTTCGAAGTGAAAATATCTTCAATTCGATCCGAATTGTGGGGTGAACAGACACAATGACCCGAAATTAAGGCGATTATGTCTTTTCTATTCATAATACATTTTACCGAAAAGAAGACTATCGCGACACACACGCGAAAGAGATTGTATCTTTTTTTCGGTTGCCAGTCACTCGGTGTTAATGGAATAGATTTCATATTGAGATAGTATAGTTTTGCTACTAAAAGATAATTCAATTGCATAAAACATGTGGACTGGTGTTGCTATGAAAATGCATCTGCATACGCCTTTGATTAAACCATTCACTTTGATCGTTCAATTCAATCCGAATACAAGTGGTGGGCCTGTGTACGCTGCCAGAGCCAAACATATGCCATGTGTTCAAGGTGAACGAACGCGACTCGTGCTATTTTAATCAAAATGCGCAATGAATGAAAAATGTCTTCAAATTACTCTGTCCTGACACAATATTTGAATGATGTACATTTGTTTTTTTTTCGGTTATATTCCATAGGCTTTCCAACGTCTTAAAGAGGAGAAGCCAGAACAAATGAAAAAGTTGGTGCCAATCCAAGGCGATGTGACATTTGATTCGCTTGGTTTGAGCGGTGAAGAAATGAATCGTATCTGTCGCGAAACAAACATTGTGTTCCATTGTGCAGCCACACTGCGCCTGGAAGCAAATTTAAAGGATGCCCTCGACATGAACACAACTGGAACAAAACGTGTATTGGATGTGGCCCGTAAAATGACCAATCTATTGGCATTCATCCATTTATCTACGGCCTTCTGCTATTGTGATCAAGAGGTGTTGCTCGAAAAGGTCTACGATTGTCCACACGATCCAGAAGATTTGATCCGTTGCGCCAAATGGATGGACGCGAAAACATTAGAAAAGATTACACCTGAACTCTTGAGCCCACATCCAAACACATACACCTATTCAAAGCGTTTGGCTGAAATTCTCGTCCAAAACCAATATCCAAATATGCCAGTATGCATCGCACGACCAAGTATCGGTAAGTGTTTATTTGTGCAACATTACACAAACGACTCTTGGGTGTAGTGGAAATCGGTTTCTATTTTAAGAGCAGAATAAAACCCGTTAAATTTAACCGCATAAATTGCGATGTCTATTAAACTTGATCGGCATGAAAATACATAAATCTACTAGTGAGTAACATCGATGAAACTGAAATTGATACGTTTGCTTCGACATATAATAAATCTTGGTGTACTTATCAATTGTTTTTATGCAACCAAAATATCGGAAGTGGACAATGTTTTACAATAAGTATACAATGTTTTGTTCGAGAAAATGGGCTTAGCTTCGAATCAAACGAAAATTACTTGAAAAATGCATACATCAATCAATGCAACAAATAATTCCGTAAGCGGTTTCAGTTGACTTCACATGCACCAATGCAATTGCGATCATGTCAAAAGTCGTAAATCATATACACGATCAATTTTCAAAGATGATTACAACCATTCAATGCACGTTTACTATTTTGCATTTGTGAGCTAATGAAACGACACATTAATCTAACGGAATAAGTATATACAATGTCGAAAAATAAGCAGCGCACCAAATCAATTATCCATAATTTTGTATCATATCTGCATTGCAATGCAGTTAGTGCCGAAGCTTATGAAAATGCAGACACTCACAAACAAACATACATACATACACACACACACACGCGTGTGCTTTCATGTAAAAACCACATATATGGTATTTTCTTCCACAAAGTCACTAAAATATATTTGCAATTACTCTTACTCGTTCGCAAGTGTTCACATATTCAATATTGCATATAAACCCATTCTTAGATCGCTTGGCATCGAGTTACTGGTTCAGCAACAATAAATGTGCTTGCTTCACACAAACAAACAAACAAAATTGAAGATTTCATGCGGCACAACGTAGCGGCTGTTTGTTATATTACAACTTTGTTGTTGTCATATTGAATGCACTGCATTTGGTCTTGGCTCGTTTGGCTTGGATGTATTACTTCTTAACGATGGTTGGCAAGCTCTCTTATGCGCTTGTTGCATAGGCATATGCCACATGCATTATTTGCTTAGTTAATTTGAACGTCGTTTAATACCAATAAAGTATCTTTCGTGCTGAACGATTGAAAAATCGTCATTCGCTCAACTGCTTGACTTCGTCTTCACACATCGCTTAGAAACGGCCTTTTCTTTCTGTGTACATTCCAATTCATTTTATGCCAATTGTCAGCTATTCATTTCAATTACGATGGTACTTGCCACAATGCGATGATAGGCACTTTGTAATTATTGTTATCAATTCGCATTGGAATTAAAATATCAAACGTATATCAAAATATATTATCCTTGACAGAAGATAAGCCACTGAAAAACCTTGCGCCCAAAATAAACATTTGTTTTTTTTATTCACAGTTGAATATGATGATTTTAGTAGGCTCTTCAAAGTCATTAATTTACATAGTCGTAAAAATATTTTTACTCGTTTTCTTTCATAGTCATATTTTGGACAACGGCAAAAAAAATGTCTAATTGATGGCAATAAAATGCCACCCGACTAATTACTTTCAATATTATTGCATTTTGTGAGTCATTTTCCACTTTTGACTGAATTTCGCCTGTTCATCGTTTGCAGTGGCTGCTTGGTGACAAAGTAGTTAGGCTCGGCAGCGTAACAGACCGTGTAATTTGTTTTTGTAACAGACCGTGTAATTTGTTTGGTTTTTTGAAATTAAGCACTTAATTTTCATTGATTCGAATTCTTCGATAAATGACTGTATTTCCGTTTTTTCTTTATACAATTTATGTTTTTAACTTAATAGCGTTCATCGCTTATAGTTGGGACAGAGGTGATTACGGTCAATTCCGTGATTTTACACATTTCTTTAAGCCGATTTTCTTCTTTGTGATCGAAATTTTGGAAGTAGACTTTCTTCGGAATTAATAGCTGAATTGCCTCTCTATTTTTTCCTTGAATTGTTTATATTTCTGTATTTTCTTCTAGTTTTTGATTGATATGTCATTATTGTTCGTTATTGTTTCGCAGTATCGCCCGCTTGGGAAGAGCCTTGTCAAGGATGGGTAGACAGTTTGAACGGACCGATCGGTATTATGGTTGGTGGCGCTAAGGGTGTTATCCGTACTATGTTGTGCAACGGTGAACATCGTTCTGAGGTTATTCCGGTCGATATCGCCATCAGCGGTTTAATTGCAATCGCCTACAAGATTGCAATAACCACACAAAAGTAAGATATTATCAATTATTGTGATGGCAATGAATAAAAACCTGGAAATCTGGTTGTCATGGTTTTTTTCATCTCACACAGGCCGAAAAATATTCCAGTTTACAATGTCACATGTTCGGACAGCAAGAAAGTGACATGGCGTGAAGTACTCGACCAAGGCAAAGCACTCAATTACAAATATCCATTTGAAGGTGGTGTCTGGTATCCAGGTGGTGATATGACCACATCAAAACTTGTTCACACCTTAAAATTGTTCTTCTACCAATTGTTACCGGCTTATTTCATCGATTTTATTATGTTGTGCATTGGTCAAAAGCGATTGTAAGTCATTGCTCTCATTGATTGGAAATACTTGATTAAAAAAAAATCAATTGCCAATCGGAGAACGCATTCTCCTCCAATCGTGGATATCTGATTAAGATTCAATGTTATTTTTGTAGCATGGTACGTGTTCAAAGACGAATTTTCGATGGATTAGATGTTTTACAATTTTTCACAACTCGCCAATGGGACTTCCGTACAGAACGATTCTTTGGCCTATACCGCGAACTAACACCGAAAGATCAGCAAATGTAAGTATTGTACTGGAATATGCCAAAAAAAGAGTCAGTTTCGTTAAACACAAAGATAAAAATGCAAAAATATCAAATAATTTCAGATTCAACATGGACACCGACGGCATTCCAGATTTTGAATACTTGAAACGCAGTATTCTGGGTGGTCGTCAATATTGTCTCAAGGAACCATTGACCACATTGCCAAAAGCCAGACGTCAATTGAAAGTGTAAGCATAACATACAGTTAAAACACCAAATTCCATTTTTCAAACAACATCCATATACTCATCGGTTTCTTTTTCTACCGACAGATTGTATACCATTGATTTGATCTTCAAGATTCTCTTCTACGCATTGATGTTGTGGGCATTCTTGTCAATCACTGGACTGAAACAATACGTGCAGGCTTTTTACTCTGAATCCCAAGGATTTTTGAAGCAATCATAAATTTAATATTTATGATTCAACTATGGAATAGGAATTAGAAACTCAATTTTTTGTTTTTTTTTTTTAGTAAAGAAGGAAAAACCATAAGATTTTGTAGTGCATAAGAAATGAATGGCAGTTACCAATATACTCTAAGCCGAAATTATGCAACGACACGACATTTTTTCTTCAATTTTTTTTTTTATGTTTTGCGCGTTCAAAAGAAACAATCTACATAATTCTACAATCATTTATACCATTATCCTTATCGCTGACTTCGAATAGATTCTTATTCATTCACGACATTACTATGATAGTTGTAGTAGTAGCTGCTTGAGGAACAAGGGTACGACAACATTATCGCTTTTTTTATTTTCATTTTTTTTACACCTTATAATTTACTCAAATTTTTTTATACAATGTAAAATTCTTATGGAAAATTCAATAAAATATTGAGAAATAAATAAAAACCACCCGAATTTTTTATTCACCATATCGGTTGTATTGATCAAAGCTCTTTGTTTGAAGCAATGATTTTTTTTTTGGTTTGTTAATTCGGATATTCAATTGTGAAAATTAAGTTTGACAATCGGGTAAGTAGATAGAAATATTAATGAATGATTTAACCAAATAATGAAAACAAATCGCGCAATCGAAAGAAATTTTTTTTTGTAAAAACTCAATAGTGTAAAGGCAACAAAATTGAGTTCATGAAATGCGAACGCAAACACACGATCAACGCCATCTGTTGGCGCATTTCATCGAATAAAAACTTACTGACATTCGTGTTCTGTTTACCATTTCTGAGTTGTGGCGAATTCAGTAGCCAAGGTGATACATTTCAATAATCTTGTCAAAAAAAAAACTCTTAGCTTACAAATTGATTTTATTTTTAAGGCAATTGAACTAGTAATATTCAAACATCGAGAGTATTTACTAGTTAAAAAGGGCCACAGATACACTACAAAAATTCTTTAAAAAAGTATATTAAGAAAAAGAAAAAACCAAGTTAGTTTCATTAACATGCAGCTCATCATAAAGGTGTTGAAGGGTGGAGAGTGTCAGCTCGAGGTAATTTGCCAAAAGCACACAAGTGAAATTTGAGTTTCCATTAACACCATCCGTTTGAATTGCATTTCAATGATTTTCAGGTGGACGAAGAGATCAGTGTGCTTGAATTGAAGAAGGAAATCTCAAAAACATTGAATATCCCAGTGCCACGACAAAAGATCCTACATGTCGGACGCACACTGCCCGATGACAAAGCATTGAGCGCATTTCAACAGATAAAAAGCGGTTCCAAATTGACAGTGGTCATAAGGGAGCCCGAACCATTGAAGGATGTCATGTGCAAAATATTCAAAAAATATTACTCGGACGAACAGTCGGAGGCAATGGCAAAGGAATTCATGTTGGACTTGGACAAACGTTTGGAACAATTGAGCCTGGACGATTTTGAGCGAATGGCCGCATATTTCTTAGAACGTGATCGAAAACTGTACGGCGACACGTAAGCCGTACGAAGCGTTGAATGGAATGGACTCGAAATGTGACGAGGTGTTTTTGTTTTGGAAATGGAATAGAAAATTAAGGAAAAAAATTTAACACAAACTCAAATTCTGTTTTTTTTTAGTTTCCATGCTTACGATTAAATACTTTTTCACTTAATTTCAATGAGCTTGTAATCAGAACTGAAAATTAACGGAACAGATGATGATGAATAAAAAAAAAATATCGGAAATCTACCAGTATTTATTGTATCGTAGTTTCGATTCGATCGCATACACATATTTACATTTTCGCCGCCAATTCAAACGTAACCTCAAATTTGTTTGCACTGAATTCGCTTCTCATTTGCTGTGCACATATTTTGACGATAAATGTCACTTGAAAGTTTTGCGCGCAAAGTGTTTTTGCTGCATGTTGTTTTCGGTTTGCTATTAGTTGTTGATGGTTTTGTGTTGAGCAAAAATGGAAACAAATAGCGAAGTGTATGCTGAAACGCCGGATATGGATTTCAGTGAAAATATCGCAATACAAGAAACACCCGACATAAACTTCAGTGAAATTGGTTTGGACCCAGCCCCAGACACAGACACAGCAAACAAAAGTCATGAGCGTTTCACCACCGAAGACAGTGATATCGATGATTTGGATGAACCGGATCAGTACGTCGAAGGAGAGGATGATTCGGAAGACGCAAGACAAGACTCGAGCAACAAGAACAACAACAGTGAATCAGGTTTGAACGAATATGAATCAATTGCGTAAAATTCTAAAAAAAAATACCAACTGTTCCGTGTATTATTCTTTCAGCACCGGCAGACAAGAGCAAAAGTGCACCAAAATCACAAGCTCCGGATAATCGGTTGGTGCATCTGCCATCGGCACGTGTAAAACACATAATGAAGTGTGATCAAGATGTCACACTTATCACCGGCGAATGCACATTTTTGGTCACCAAAGCTACCGAACTCTTCATCGAATCGCTGGCTCGCGAAGCATTTCTACACACATTACAAGCAAAGAAGAAAACCGTTCAGAAGCGCGACGTCGATGCTGCCATTGAAAACGTCGAATCACTGATGTTTCTGGAAGGAATGATGAATATTTGACTGCGTTAACAATTTAGATAATTAAGACGACAAGAAAAATGCACACTTTGGGGACACACCACAATTATTTTACCAAATAAATTTTAAGCAAACAACTCAGAAAGATGTGCTCGGTTTGTTATTTGTTTTAGATTTGGAATATTATGTCAGTATGAAATCAGAAATTAATTGCAGCTGAACCAATTGATCCAATTTTGAAAAGTAAGCCTACGTAGCACCTATATCATATGTGTTCAATATGTAGTTGCTCTAAATCTCTTACTCTCTCTTCGCTTTGACCTTCCTTTTTTTTATTGGTACGTTTTTTTCAAGAGCCGTGGTTGAAGAATATCTTTTTGAATGGTCACTTTTTACATTCAATACCGACAATGACCTTGAGATATTTTCACAATTTTTTTTCGCCTTTCGGACTTTCAATGTGACTTGAATAGAAAATATAGGCTTTTGTTTTATTTTTTCTTCTAAACGTTGTTTGGATTCGATTTTAATAAACCGATTCTTGAACGTATGTGCACGCACAAAGCGATAGCATTGTGAGATTTTTGAACTTCAGCCTCAAGACGATTCAGACGTTTAACACCATAGCGTTAATTATTTTTTCAGAGAAATACAAGAGAATTCTTTCAAAGTGATTCACCAAAAATTGATGATCAAATAATTAAAATTAAATTCGGCTCAAAACATATGCTATCATTTACGTAAATTTTGATCTCCAGCAATCATAAAATTTAAATGAGAAACATCTTTATTTCAGGAATTGCATTGAGAAAAAAAAATCCGAATGAAGCATAAGCGCAATATCCAAAAACTTGCAAATGAGATTCAGTCCATTTAATATTACCATTAAAATCATATAGTCTCCTCGAATGACTGACGTAGTATTGGGCATGAAATTGTCAAAGGCCGAATTAACTGAAGAGGATCAATTAAGTATTGAACATTCTACGTAAATATCATTGCTCAACGCCCCATCGGTACAAAAAAAAATCCAAATGCGAATTCAGCGCAAGAAGATGTTTAAAGAATAACGACTAATTTGTAAGTGGCACAGTAAATGGGAGGAGATGATAAGAATTCTTCGTTGAATATAATTTCGGTTCACTTGTTTTGGAGCAAAATGGCAATCAACTGAAAATACACTATGAACGTTTACAGGGCAATAAAAATCACACACAAAATCATGTAATGTAATGGGCATTGTGTTCAGGTTCAAGGTGAGATACAACACAGGTTCCAACGATTACTGCAATTTAGCAAATGCACCAAACTAACCTTAAATCGATAACTACTTTTACTTTTTTTCGGCGGTCGTCCGCTCTCCAGCGAATGATGACGCTGCCGTTCAAAACAAAACGACGCAATAACTGAAAAAAAATATTGTACGCGCGCTTTTAAACACACAAAACACAATCATTCATGTGGCCAGTGCATAGAGACGAGAAAGAGAGTTGGCAATGACCGCCATTTGCTTGCCTCATGCAATTGTTTACATTCTATTTGAAATTGGCATTTGGCCTGCGGTACAGGCTCAGGCTCACACACACACAAACACTTCCAATTGCAATGAGAATGGGTGTAGTTCAGGTTCCTGTAAACCAATGTGAACTCGGTAACGTCACATATTTTCTTCGTATATTCTTTTGTACTGAGCCCTTTTCTTTCCGGCTAAAATGCAACATTGCAACCAATACATTCATTAAAACACCTTTCGAAACTTCTGAAAAGTTCAATTGACATATTCATCAATGCAATGGAGCGTGCGAATCGACAACCCAAAAAAGCAGCGATAATAAATGGTTTGTAACTTAATAAGTAACCACCGAATTCATTAATTCGTTTTCGTCGCAAGTACATAATGTTTATAATTTTCGCCATCATATTTCTGGTTTATAAGATTTTATCTGTTCAACTGACGTTTCGTTAGAAATGTGAATATATTGTGTTTTTAGTGTGTAGTGTGTTTTGGCCGGCAAAAATATGGAATGCAGTCATTTGCAGATTGATCGAGGCAAACGTGATTTTTTTTTGTATTAATGAACGATTTGAGCGAAATACGTAGTGGCACTGGTTTATTGGACGCGTGAGCGGACGCACATTGGATGCCTCAACAGATGGTAATTTATGATGAAGGAAGCCAAACATGAAACTGTCTTAAGCTAAAATATTGAAAAGAACATATACAGATATTGTTATAGTTTTATTTGAGCGAAGCACCAGCATCAATGCGTGCGTCTTTCGTAGCCATAAGAAATATTCTTATTTTAATACTTCCGCGTCTGCTGATCATGTATTTTATATCCATATTGCTTGATAGCTCATTTCAATTTTTGGTTCGCAACATGTGAGTTTGGCTTACCTACATCAAAATCCTACTCTTGATGCACCAAATCGTTCGCCACATTCCCAACCATTTCAATATAGGTGTTTGTTGAACTAAAGCCGGTTCTAGCAAGGACTTTGTCTGCTGATGATGAAAAAAGAACAGAACGAACAACACAAAGACCGCATTTTTCATGTGAGATCACAATCGCCGGCGTACAAAAACAACAACAGCCACATTTTCGCGCAAGACATTGTGGCAAACCACTTCGTTGACAGTATGACGCCAATTGCAAAGACTCATCATTTGTTGACTTTGTTCATTTTGGTTTGGTTTTAAATGGCTCTCTGATTGCTGCCATTAAAACGGGCTCACGATTTATAGAGCAGAGCGTAAGTGACACGGTACAATGTGCAACGGCAACAGTTTCAGAAGAGAAATAGCTTGAATGGTTGTTAAGGAGAAGAAGAAAACATTGCTTTAACATTGCTGTGTCACCCATATTTAGTGCGAACGCCTTAATCTGAACGATAATTGCCAGAGCATGTTTTGAGCTGACGTTAGCAGCACTAACTAACGTCAGCTGCTGATATTAGCTGCTATTAACGCATTTGCAGTATAAAAACGAAGAGATAAGCAACCATTTCATTGGAATGTGCAAACATCTCATTGGAATGTTTGGAGAATATCTCGTTTTTATACTGCAAATGCGTTAAAACAACGTAACGCATACTCGTCAGCAGCTGACGTTAGTTAGTGCTGCTAACGTCAGCTCAAAACACGCTCTGATAATTGCCAATGTCTGGCTCTGATTTTTCTATAATCTTCCATTTGCATGCTTTCTTATACGAACCAACCAAATCGATCGTTAAATATTATGCCAGTAGGAACATGAGCGAAACGAGAAATAAACAGAAACACAAGGAAAGAACAAAAAACCAGGACCTGAACATAAATGCAATTTACTCGTACCAATCCACAGATAACAATAGTATATTGTGGGAAAAACCAACGGACTGGATGATTGCTTATAAATGTCTGATGGTATCATTGCGCGATGGACATTGCAGACTCTGAACTTTGGTCGATTAGAAGTACATTTGTAAATCGGAGTTTTATGAACGGGTTCGTCCACTTTTTTTCCGGCTTAAATCCGCCATCCATGCCGTATCATCGTATCCTAGTGCTTTTACTGTCGTTTTCTCTTAATTCATTTCGTTATAAAGTCCAATTAACGGTCATTTTTAGCTACGAATTGATCGAATCGTAGATCAAACCATCAACAAATTTATTTCGAGCCAAAAAAAATCGTTTCCATCAAAACATATTGATTTTCAACTCGATTGATTCTCGTGCTAATTGTAAATACGATCAATAAAATACAATAAACATACGAAAAGAAAAAAATCATTCTCAATTGCGTACATCGCCATTTTCGATGGCGGTTCATTCAAAAATCGAAAACATAAATAAATGCTAATAAAAGAAATGAGCAAAAAGCATTCGTTCTCACTGAGAAAGAGCTTCTTAGTATCGAAAAAAGAGAGATAATTTATTTTGCCTGCCCAATTCCATTATAGCGTATCCATTCTATGCGTGCGAATTTTTGCCATTCTAAGGCGTTTACATTAACAGCAATGATTATTATTAAATCATCTTAACCCCCCGTAACAAATGTATCCATGTGTTAATCAAATGCTTACTTCTAGAATCCATTCAAACGCTTTGTTTACTTCACGTGCTTGAGCATCTTATATGTATGCGTACACCAATAATAAACAACGAATATATGAATGGTTGTTTGTTTATTTGAATAAACGGATCCGAAAAAATGTTTCAAAGCTCGGCCCGTTCTCGCTGCATACAAATTTCAAATCTATTCAAATGCTTGGCGTGTTGACATATATTCATTTGTGACAATTTAATTTATCAAATTTTCATATTTCATATTTGGTATTTTGATTCAATTGGATCATGGAGAAGAAAATGTTATCTGAAATACTTTATTCGACTAAATCAAGTTATCATTGTCCTGACAATTATTCGAAGTAATTTGATTGCGTCAAAGGCTGGATTTCTGGGTAGCAAATGCCAAAATTGCCATATATCCGATTCGAAATTGTGACGTAATCGTTGACGCAACATCGATTATCTTGCGCAACAAATTCTGTATTGATTTTCCGGCAAGTCTAGCCATTCTGAACACAAAATCATCTGCTGCATATCAGCGCACAATGTAATGTTTGGATGTGTTGTTTCAATGTTCATTGTGTACTTCAAAAATGTTGGTTTGTATGGAGTTCGTCTTTCGAGAAGCACTTATCCCTTCTCGATCACTTGAAAAAGTATTTGAACGTGCGAGCCGAGTAATCAATACACTCACTCCGACTAATAGAGTATCACGCAAACGAATGTTAAGCCGAACACTTGATGCGAAGCGCGCAAAACAAGAGCTACGTGTTATAGCGTTCAAAACGAGCCATTCGAAGCTGATTTTGATCATCAATACCAACATAGATCCAAAGCTTTTTCAGGATACGCAAGTGACAAAAGATATTTTATGACTGTGGTGACGGCGCCGCCACTGTTACAATCTTACCACCAACACCAAAGAAAGAAGACAAGACAACAAGCAGCCCAAAAGACTTTTGGCGTTTTCATTGTTTTAAGTGCGGTATTCGTTAGGTGTGTAAGCAAGCACACGCGCGCGCGCGCTCGCCAGTCCAGCTTGTAATGTTTGTTCCGTACAGTGAGAATTGCGCCTCGATATAATCACTGGCATCGCTTGTCTTTCGTTTAGTATCTGTTATGTTATGCATCCATGCGGGTGCTCGAAAACGCGTTCTGATTCGATGTCAATCATTTTTTATTTCATTTATAACTAGATTGCGAGCCCACACATTTTTGTAATTGAATAGAGGAGAGAAAAAAAAACACGGTGAAAATATTGAACGGCGAAATTGATTTTTTTTACAGTGCAATTTAGAAGCAAATACGCTCTCAACTGTGAACCGAAACGGAAAAAAATTGAAAAAAATTTGTGTGTCTTTTTGTAGATTGTAAAAGGGAGCCTATTCAGTGTGACACAATATTGTGTGATTTATTATAAGTACACACCAAAAAATTATGTAGAATGCTCTAGCCAAATCGAATGAAATTCAAATCAAATAATCGCAACAAAGTGTGAATACAATCTATACCAATCTGCTTTTACTGCTCATCTTGGGGACTGAAAATCGAAGAAAATGGTCGTGTATCAAGTGGTAATTATTAATGTACTTAAAATGTATTATTTGTGTCTTTCGTCATTTTGAACTTGGGCAGAAGAGACGTGTGTACGACTAATGCAAGCAGTTCAACTTAGTCGAATAGCTGACAAATGGATTTTGAAATCCAAACCTATTGTCCGCTTCTTTTTATTGGTGTTAGTTTGTGTCGCAATAGATGAGCTTTTCAGCTAGTTGCACCACGTGATTTTCACCTCAAATTTTTGGAACAACTAGTGCAAATATTCACTATGCTATTCTATCGCTATTCGATTCAGTTGCTCTGTTTCACTTTGATTGTCACCACAACGTGAGACGATCATATACACCTAATGATTTCTTCCAAAAGCACCACTATTTATTTTTGCCAACACAAACAAAGTGAAACGCGATTCACAATGTATTTCACGTATCTCTATATCTCTTTCAATTCGAATTGGAATTAGAAAAAGGCATTTCATTTGAGCAGCTTTTCATTACGTGTCACAAAACCATCATGATTGCTCTTGATTCAAATTTTAAAGTTCCCTATCAATTTAGTATATATTATTCTCTTCTGGTTTCCAGTGGAAACTTTCCATGCATCTATTGGCCGAACATCGAACCCGTTATTTGAGTGACCCGAAAAAGGAAATAGTATACAAACGGGCATGCATTCATATTTCGCGTGAAGAAAATCATTCTATTGAATACTTAAAATCAAGGAGTAATGATCACCCATTCGTCTGGTTGATTCAAATTTGACTCACAATTAATTGTATTGATTCATGTCCCGGCATTCCATTAATTCATTAGCATGCAATCTTTCCAGAAAGTTTGGAGTTTAATTTTCTGCTTCAGTAAGCTCAAGGCAAGACCACGTCTTTATTTATTATGTCATTTTTATTCGTGCAAAAACAAAAGAACATCGATATTTGGGAATCTTGCTGTCGATGCTAACTCAATTAGCGAAAGCGTTTTTACGTTAAGGTGCAAGTGTGCGCATTATTTGGTTGCTGTCAGTAGAAAATTGGTTGCAAAGCATTAAATAACATTTAAGAATACGCTAATTTAACTAATTTTTACTGTCTGAAAGAATGGAGGATTTGGTGGGCAGAAGATTTCACTTCAATTACGTATTAATCATCACGGTGTGTGGTGTAATTAAAGTAAATAATGTGCATACATTCTGAACGAGCGCACCCCGCGCTCCGCCACTCACAATTCCAAAGCGAATGAACACGTGCAAAACAAACAAATAAACTGCAATTCACAAACAATTTGTTTGTAAACATTAATTATTGTTTCAAGTGACAGTGAACAGTGCGCTGTAAATGCTATACAAATGTGCTTTTTCATCTCTAATTATTAATCGCCATTGGAATAGCTCTTCCCGTACGCGGCCAATCTCATCTACTTCAGTTTCAAGAAGTACGTATCAAACGAACGAACGAACGAATTGATTTGGCAACGCATTTTTGTGAACTATTTATTTATCACTTGAACGTTTTTAATCTCAAAATAAGATTTTGAGCCATTTCGTAATATTCAGTCAGCCGTATTTTCTGGTCTTTCTCTCGAAAAATTGGGCGCTAAAAGAGAAATTTTTTTTTTCGGTTTTGTGAAGGTACCAACAATTGGTGCAATTTTCGTCTTACCGTTGTAAAATATAAGTTCACCCAACTTGAAATTGAGTACCTCAACAGCAACCACTTCAACTGATTACCATTGAGAAGAAAAAAACAGCGCACGAAATAGTTCAGCAGGTACTATATAACTCTGTCAAAAGAAATGGCACGAGATCGTTTGCATTTAATTAAATGGTGTGGGTCAGTTGCTTCATTGATACTTCAATGTATTTTGCTGCTTGTTTGATTTTCCATTTATCTAGTGAGGTGAAGGTCAATGCTATATAGCTTGTGCTGGAACTTCATTCAGATTGTCTTTCCTTAAAAACGTCACGTAACCACCACATGTGTGTGTGTGTGTGTGTGTACGCATGGTTATGTATCGGACAATCGCGAGCAAACAAACACATCTTTTGTTCGGCCATTGAAAATTTAAGGCACTAAGTAGGCAAATAAATGACCAAATTCAATGTGGATTTGTTTGCTTAAGTGATTTTGTTTTAATTTTTTTTCTTCGCTGTTGCTTTTTGTACGTTACGGGTAAATTATGCGTTGGCCATTGAAGCCGTTTTGCTGTTGCTGTTGCTGTTGTTGTATGGGCTTGTGTACATTGTACAAGTGGCCAAGTTAAAGTCGATTGAGCGCAAGTGACACACATTTCTTTCGTTTGGTTATCAACGACTGTTGTTTTTTCCTTTGCCATTTAAATTTGTACGGACTTTTAAAATTTCATATTTTTTTCATTTGTAGCTAGAACGAGCCTATCAACACGAGCTTATGGTTTTCGTCGTCATGATGATCATCAGCGCAATTCTGTATGCCTTATCCGATTATCTTAAGGCTGTTGTGCTCTGTTTTAAGCTCAGAGGACCTCCCGCTTTATTCTTAATCGGCAACATACTGGCGATAAAAGACAAAGACAGTAAGTGCTTTATAACCATCGACCAAACCCACACACACACACACAAAATGTATTTTCCCCATTGATGGATGATCGCTCATTTGATAAATATTTGTGAAAATCACCTAGTGCAAGAGCACTAAACACCGAGTCATGCACGCAATAAATCAATATTCACTACACATCTGCTCAAGAGTCAATCAAACGAAAATGAACTGATGTGTACTTTCGTCAATATTTCATACGAGACAAACAGTTGTGTGGTGCAGATTGCAGACTAGGGGCTAACCACGGTTTTAAAAATAACCAATAATGACCGACTTTAACGTCTTTTTATCATTAAACAAATAAATTCCGATATGATCACATTTTGGTCGATTTTGCCCGATTTTTGCAGTAATTTGTTCGCTTTAACGAATGGATACTGTTCTAGAAGCGGATTTTGGTGCATCTTCAGGATCGTTCAGAACTGCTCCCGATTCTGGAAGTGGGTTTTGGTGGATCTTCAGGATGGACCAGACTGGGTTCGACAATGTCTTGGCCCATCCTGAGGATCCACTTCCAGAACCGGGAGCAGTACTAAACGATCCTGAGGATCCACCAAAACCCACTTCCAGCATTTGCGAATCGGTAATGACGTCAGCACATTGAACGTTTATAGTCGATATTAAACGATAAAATTCAATATATACAGATTTTGTCAATTTTTTACGGATGTGATTAAAATTGGGCGATAAAAACAGATTTTGCAGAGATTGCATATTTGCTGCTGAGTAGGCCTGAGCTGAGCTGAATTTGCTAACTCAGGCGCCTGAAGCGGTATTTTAGCGCACTTGCGGTGCAAAATTTTTGTGGATCGCCGGTATCCACGCAAATATAGTTGATAAACAGCGTGAATTCCAGCGATTCACAACAATTTTGCACCGTAAGTGCGCTAAAATACCGCTTCAGGCGCCTGAGTTAGCAAATCCAGTTCAGCTCAGGCCTACCCAGCAGCAAATATGCAATCTCTGAGATTTTGTCAATAAAAAATCAGTGGTTTGCCCCTAGATTGCAGAGGTCTGGTTCAAGAAATTGTGTAATGACGAAAAGATGCTTGTTAAATTATGGGCAGCAAATTTTTGTATCGAAGAACCGCAATCACATAAATGAGGCTTTTTTTCTTCTTTTTCTTCTCGTTTAAAACGTCAAAAGCTATCATGACTCTTCAGATCGGTGACAACAAGAGAAAGAGTGAACAAGAAGCTGTCTCTAACAATAGTTCATGATGGTTTCAATTTGAATTGTCAACAAAGATGTTATAACAGCATCACGCCGAAAGTAGAAGTCGCGCAATGAAGGGGGAGGGAAAAAGTAAAGAGCAACCGATAGTTTGTTCGATGTCGACCACATAAGTCACGTACTGATATTTTCATTGAAATCATTATTCAATGTTGTTTATGCAGATGAAATGGAAGAATGTGCGACAATGATAAATAGCGAGATGATGAAAAATCGCATAATACCTTGCCATCACCGCAAAATATGGTGTCTGCTGTACACTGGTCTTGTGTACTTTTGAATAATCAGCGTTTTTTTTTCTATTTGTTTTACTGGAATTATCAAACCAAATGGACAATATTTGGCGGCGGTGTGACGAAGTTTTATGTCTGCATTTCTGTCTCTTCTCAAACGCCGGCACAACGGTTTGTCGTTTAACCCATTTTGACTCCGCGTTCCGAAAACGCAACGCTTCAGATTTCCTCCACCTGAAGCCATTCAGGCACGAAATTTTCGAAGATTTCCAGAAGAGAAAATGTAGTTTATCTCAAAATCTAATCGATCTGTTTTTGCGTTTTGGCTAATTTTAACATCTAGAGTGTCGATTAGAGGTCGCCAGGCCCATCTGTTCGAAAATTCGGAAAATCGCCAAAAAAACGTCAAAAAAACCAAAGGGGACCCTCGGAAAATGATTTTTTTTTCAAAGTAGAGGAGAGGTTGAAATCTATTTTTCATATTTATGCTAAAAGTAGCTTTTGTGCCAATTTTCAGGTCATTCTAGCCAGCAGAAAAATCGCGGGCCAAAATGGGTTAACACAAAGGAAGCATAGTAACACATAAAATTGATTGGAATTTTGAGTTGGAACAACGGGCCATACGTCTAATTTGGTTCGCTTGCCGAAGAAATCAACAAATGGTTATTCAAAGCCACACTCATATTTGGTGATCTCGCGCTTGTAACATATCCAACGAAGTTCAATCAGTACTTCGTCAATTGTATTTTGCAAAGTGCTTTACGAAATAACACATCATCAGCAATGTTTACTCAATTGTTATATATATATATATATGTCTTTTTCTTTTTCATCAGAATTGAGCGCGCGCGCGCGATGACACATCGTAAAATGTGTAGTGCGGAGCGCACCAATCACCAATCAATACCCAATGGTCAATCAACCGCCATTTATTTTCCTTCAACAGAAGCACACAATAATCCAATACGTAATCTATTTGGTTTTGAACAATTGAAAAATTCATTTTTTTCCGGTATGCGCGACAGCAACCAATAAGTTTTATTTTGATTGACAAAGTATTAATTTGAAAGTATTTGCACTTTGTCGCGCAAATCAGTTGTTCCGTGATTTTCAAAACTAATGGACTTCAAATGTATGCGCACAGGAAATGCAGTCACAACATTCGAAATCGAATGTCTGCTCCTTTGGTCGCCCGCCTTCGATTGATCGAAACACAATATGTTTTGTTTACAGGCAATTTATTGGAAAATATTTACTTGAAAACTGACGTTATAGGCACTTTTGCGAATGCAAACACCAAAATTCACAACAACAACCGACGTTGGTTTTTTTTTTTATTTGTCATCAACAAACCGTGTTTACAATTGACGACGGATAAAAAGTGGAAGTGAGGGTCTTTCACCATTGCGACGTTTGAAAATGGTGCTTTTTTCCCTACGTGACATTATTTTGTGTCAAGGATTTATTGTTCTACAATGATAACGATCAGAACAATATTTGAGAAACGATAACGATCAAAACTATGCTCACGATCGAGATGCAACCATCTGTAAGAGCCACAAATATTCACTTCACCAACGATATTGAGCGATAATGATTGTGATTGGTAAACCATTTAACACTTCCAAGAGAGAAAAAAAAAATAATAAAAATTTAACCAAAAAAAAAAACTCGAATCGATTCAAATTCAATGTCAGAATTATTAGTGATAATAATATTCGAGCACCATTGATATTCAATGCACTGCTTTCTACAACATTCCACATGAAATCGCATTCACTGTTCACTTCTCCGTGCCACTATTTGCTTACACTTAACGTTGGGTGGTCAGCGATTCCACTAGAAATATGCAACAACATGTTAATTAAGTTATTCTATAGAATCGTATTTGTTGGAACAGTGACAACACCGCCAATTTGTCAAGTGTACGGCGTTTAATGATTAATATCATGATGACACTTGTAAAAAAATCTATAGTATCGAGAAGGCGTTCGTTATATTGTAGGGAAGTAGCCAACCATTCAGATGTTAAATCATTCAATTCATTAGAAATGCTTTAGAGAATGAGAAGAAAAAATGTGTAAAAAAAAACAATGAAATTCAAAAGATCCTCATTTGTTTGAAAGAAAAATTCAAAAGATTCAAAAGATTCAACTTGGTTTTGTTTCTGCCAGCAAAAAAAAAACCTGGACAATTCAATTCAGAAGAAATCGAATCAATCATCTTGAAAAGGAACGCGTTTTCTTAAAAGGAACGCTTGCAAACAATAATTGCGATGGATGAATAATAGTTACGAACTGTTGTCGCTGGTCAAAGGAAAAAATAAAACGAAGCGGTAATAATCGAGTGCGAATTCTTGTTCTATATGGATTACACAGCATATGTGTACACTTTAACGTAGTATTCGCAGTGGAGAACAGCGATGCGATGCGATGCGTGAGTGGATGGCAGCCGAATTGAATTGTAACCTTGACCACAAAACACGTATAACTACCAATGTCTTGGAGCGGTTAGTGTTAATGTGTACGGGTTTTTTTCAGTTGTTTTCGTTGCGTACAACGTAAAACGCACAAATGATTCACTCAATGTGCGAATTTGACAATTGTCAGTCACCCATTTATGAAAACAAAAAACGAAATTCTCAATGCTTTTGATGCAATTTCAAAGTTGAAATTCGACCAACAAAAACGACATATTTGCTCAATAAGCTGCTGCTTTTCGAGTCTCTGATGTTTTGTCTTACCTCCTCTTCAACAAATACTCGCTTATCGATCGATCAAGATCGTAAAATAAACAGTAAACGATTACCCATAAAGACACTTATCGTTTACAGTTTACGGTTTTTTGCATTTACAACATTTGTTTATTTTTAACGTTTTAATTGAATCTATTTGCATTGTCCGTTTGCACGGTCAATGCTTATTAAAGTGAATCGGAACATAAAGGGAAAAAAAGAAGTTGTATTTACCCACAAAAATGGTGTATGTGTGTGTCCTTTGCCACTGCACATAATGATTTTTGTTATTATTATGTTTTTTTTTTTCATTCACCTTCGCTTGCATGTTAACAGTGTTGGAAAAGTATGTTAAGTCGGCTGACATACTGTATGGCCGACTGATCCGTGTATGGGTGTTATTATTTCCATTTTTTGCCATCACACATCCCGAAGATCTGCAAACGGTACTCTCGTCACGAAAGCACACCGAAAAAATATTCTTCTATAAATTGCTGCATAATTTCCTTGGAAATGGATTGATAACCAGTTCAGGTGAGAAATTGAAGGTGGTTTGTTCAGCATAATTTTTGTTTTCTTGTTGTTGTTGTTGTTTATATTTTTTTTGGTCAGATGCTAAGCCGGCTCCGAACAAATTTCATTGAAAATTAAATTGCAAACATGTTTTCAATGAAAATTATTGACCCAAATAACAAAATATATGTATTTGGCAAAGAGAAAGAGAACGGGATCCTCTGAGAACAGAACATGTTGAGACGGTTTTATTGTGTGTACTCATTAATCGATTCTGTTTGTTTGTTTTCCACCATTTCGACAGCCGATAAATGGAACCTGCACCGGCGACTAATTCAACCGACATTCCATGTTAATACACTGGAACAATTCCTTGGGACTTTCATCGACGCCTCGAATGTACTGGTACAACGATTGAAAAGCGGTCCCGCCCAACTCAACATAACTCAATTGGTCAACCAATGTGTTATTGATATTCTGAACGGTACAATGAAATTTGAATAACACTTTTGTCCATTTTAGAGAAGAAAATCAAAATAAAATCATTTTCTCTCCACCAGAATCGGTTCTCGGTGTTCCAATACTGAAGGAGAATGGCATCAACATGGATAATTCACCGTTTAGACAGTAACTCTTGGTTTTTTCTTTGTTTCGATTTTAGTTCATGCTTTTCCTCTTGTATTTTACTATTTTCATAGCGAAGCGAATTCGATACCATTTCGATTTTTGTGGTTTTTTTCAGCATTTTATTCATAATTTCGTTACGAAAAATATTCTATTCTACTTTCATTGTATAGAGGTAAGGTGGTGATGCCACTTCGAATCGCGAAACCATGGTTGTTGCTCGATTGGATTTATAAGTTAACCGAAACCGCAACAAACGAATTAGATCAAAAGCGAAAGTTGGACGATTTTACAAAAAAGGTATCGATAGAATGTTTAAAAATCGTTCGTCAGACACACTAAACTGACAATATCCAATGTATTATTAAATTTAGATGATAAACATTCGCCGTGATGCACTCAACAAAGGTGAAGTTCCGGAACGAAAATGTTTGTTAGATTTTATGCTTGAAATATCGAAGAATAATCCACTGTTTACGGACGATGACATTGTGAATGAGGCTTGCACATTCATGTTGGCTGGCCAAGATAGCGTTGGAGCTGCGACAGCATTTTGTATATTTTTGCTGGCTACACATCCGGAAATCCAGCAAAAATGCATGGACGAATTGAATGACATTTTCGAAGATGATAATCGTATGCCAACGATGAAAGACATTCGTGAAATGCGCTATTTGGAGCAATGTATTAAAGAAACTCTGCGATTGTATCCAAGCGTGCCACTGATCGCACGGCGACTAACGGAAGATATCCGGTGTGGCAAATACACCGTACCAAGCGGTAGTAACATTCTGATATTCCCATATGCAACGCATCGTTTGAGCTCAATTTATCCGAATCCGGAGCGCTTTGATCCCGATCGCTTTTCACCTGAACAAAGTGAGAAGCGCCATCCATATGCGTTTATACCATTCAGGTATAATTTGTGGGAATCAATTATTTCAATCACACTTATATAGTATATTATTTTAATCAATTATTTCAATTCTTTCAATCATCATATACCACTCAGCGCTGGTCCAAGAAACTGTATCGGCTATAAATTCGCCTTTATCGAGATAAAAACAGTCATTTCGACGATTTTGAGAGAATTCGAACTATTGCCGATCGAAGGGAAAACCAAAATTAATCCCATCTTTAGGATAACAGTGAGGGCGTCTGGTGGACTTCACATAGAGTTGAAACCACGCAAATCTGCAACAAATTCAAATACCTGAACACATCTGAATATTTCAATTATTCTGTTTTAGACTAGACACATAGTTAAGTTTTGAGTTTTTTTTTCTTCTTTAGCATGTAGGCTACCGACATTGAGCAGACAGAACAACTGAATATTCTGAGTTTCAGAGAGATTAAGTTAAAGCGAACGAAGTATATTTAATGTCTCTTTTTTTTGTTGTTGCACAAAGAGTCACAAAGATTCACTTTGTTTGTTGCGTCGTGACTTGTGGTTTATTACCTATTGTTTCATCAAAACATTTTGAATAATGACGCCCTTTCCCAACTCATTCATTTTTTTAGGCATCACAATTTCTGTCACGAAATTTTTTGTATGAAAAATAAAATAATTTTCCAAAAAAAAAAAATTGGCCAATTATATGATGATCTCTGTGCTCTATTGCATGATTACGAGATTTTTGGCATGTCAACTTCCAAGAGCTTTTGCACTGAATGGAAACGTGAACAAATTATAATAAGGGATAAACGCGTCTATGAAATCCATACTGACGACAACATTCGACCTGCCTCTAGTGGTCATACACACAACATACGTTTAGCGGTCAATATATACACACAATACAGACACGCTAGCATTGGATTTATAGCGCGATTGGCTAGTTGATGATTGGCCATGTCTACGCTTATGTGATTGAAATCTTCAACTATCACCACAAGTGTAGTGTCAGTAGGAGCTCGTCTTATGTTTACATTGGAAATACTTGTTATTGTTTTTGTAGCTTCATCGCCGTGGGGATAAATGACAGGGTAAAAAAATAAAATTGCCGCTATCACACGAGTTCTTTGATCTTTTTACTATGAAACTATAGAAATAAATTAATAAATAATACGTTTCAAACAGTCTTCAACCATTTTATTACGAAAATGAAGTCAAACAGTGGGCAAACCTTATGGAAATGTGTTAAGTTGTGAACAATTTAATATCAAGTTCTATTCCTCCACGAATCTGACTTTGCCCCGTTGAATGAACCGGCCGGTATTTTTTAAGCCGTCTGCGAAGGTTGATGTAGCTTGACCCACACCTTCGATCCCTCTACCAACACCGTTCCTTGTTTGTTTTCCCGCGTTTTTTGCAGCACCTGTGACTAAACTACCAGTACCGGTTGCTAAATTAGCAGCACCATTTGCCGCTCTGCTACCCACACTTCCTGCACCTCTTGCTGCGCCTGTTGCCGTCGAATATAACCCACTGCCCGCTTGTTGAGCCAAGTTTGAGGTCCCCCTTACCAGACTCCACAAGCCTTTACCTGCATCACGAGCAGAACTGGCAAAATACTTCAGTGAATCTGAAAACTGCCCATTCACTGGCAACGAAATCTACAAAGAAGCATGAATGTATCACTTATGTTATTTCACCAAGTGAAACGAAATTGAAAATGTCCAAATGAACTCAAATTTTGAGTCCTAAATTCATAGTTACCGTAAGAAGGATTGCAACACTGAGCAAAAAAATGGAAAAGACTTTCATCTTGTTCGATTTATGTTTAGAGGAACTACATCGAATTTCAGAATGATCGGAAAATGTGCCACCATATGCATTGGTAGACGCATTTTATAGTCATTGAGCACTTGAACTTCGTCTCTTCGTGTTAAATGACATGAACAAGTTTAATTTGAATTCCAGAATTTTCGAATTAATTTGAACTTTTAGTGCATGTCCATTGGTAATATCTAGAAATATTGTTAAACTGTCAATGTCAATAGACACAGAAACGTAATCAGCCAGTAATTTGCATTTATATTGAACAATAAAAAAAATTCAAGTTCCCATTGCATTACATGAGCTGTGCCGTTATTTCTCAATTCTGTTGTTACAATTTGGCACTTGATCAGTCTAAATGAATGGTAACAATTGCGATGACAATCTACAACGTCACAAATAGTTAAAGAAAACTTACGTCAACCAACTGAAACAACAGTTTGCAGGTACGTTCATTAGATATTGTGCTCACCTTAAATCAAGCGCAATAAGTTCATAAAACGGATATAATATATATCAGGGTAAGTTTAATGGATTCGTCATTGTCTGTTCTTCATACGAAAACAGACGTTAGAAATTTCGAATTTCATTCAATGATGGCAATGACTACGATATTATAATATGATGGTTGAAAATGTGCGAAATGTCTAATTAAATTTGGTAAGCAATTAAAAGTTTACCAATTGGTATTGCAATACAGGTGAATTTCAGTTCTATCACACGCGAATCACATGGAAAAGGGTTAGGGTGCATTTGAAATGAATCAAACTTTTCTTTGAGACAGAAATCTTCTTATCTTTATTCAAAAATCAAACGAAAATATGCAAAATTTAGAATTCATGAGCAAATAACTCATTGAAAATGCAATATGGTCATTGGCTTTGTGCGAGTTGAAGTATTTCACTGATATTTGTCCAGCATCACGGAGTTTTTTACTCATATCAGGTGCATTCGCAGCACCGTCTTCGGTCGACTTGGCGCCCCCAAACAATTTACTTAAATCAAATCCGAAGGGATTTGCTGAATTTGATTCCGATGCTCCCGTTCCCGTTCCACCACCGAATAAATTAAACATTCCCGGTCCAAGCTGTAACTGATCTGTTGGCCATATCATCTGTTGCAAATGGAATATATTAAATTTCAAATAACCGCTTATTTAAACTAGAATTGACCATTTGGAAAACGGCAATGTTAAGTAGTAACACGGCAAGAAGTTTCATTTTTTACCAGAAAAACCAAAAAAACAAGAACTACAAACAAATAAAACGGAATGAATGTCAGCAATGAACGATTTTATCGACTGGCAACATCGCTTCTCACGTCGATTTATTATCAGCGAATTATATTGAAATTTTCACTGCTCATTGAATTTTGTTTCGAGATTGTACGATATTATTCACGAACGCTCAGAAAAAAAAAATTATCGTGTTTCAATCGGACACAGACGTTGATTATGCAAACAAAGCAAATGGAAATTAGCACTAATTATAACACTGTTATTCTGTAATTATCGAAATTAGTCAAAGTTTTTTTTAATGAAATTTCTACGCATCATTTGAAAGTGAAACAATTACAAAGCAATTCATTAGATTTTCAAGTCCTTGGAAAAACGGTTTGAATATATTTTATCTTGAGAATCGATGAATGTTCTGTGCGATTTAAAAAACTTTTAAATTTAAATATGTTCTTTTTAAAGGTTAAATCGAAAATACGACTATTCATTTTTTTTTCTTCAGTTGGTCTGGACGCTTAACGATCATCCGACTCGATTGTTTTTTATGGCGGCAAAAGAAAATCTGAATTCTTTTTTAGCAATGATCAGTGACGAATTAGAGAACGCGCTGTTCCATTTCTACAGAATTCAACTATAATACTAACCAGGATATTCGATGGATTCAAAAACAATCAGATCTATTATGAAGAGAAGGATAAAAACAACCCGAAACAGAAAGAACACAACATTTTTGTTTATCTATTGTTTTATATTTTCAAAAAAATTTCTTTTGACAAATTTATTGAATCGGCTAAAAAATGAAAGAAAAAAAAAACCTGTAATTGTATATGTCTAAAGTCAATGATTGACTTATTTCAAGTATCGAATCGATTGGAAAAAGTCTGCTTCGTATCTCTCTCTCCTTTTATGATGGAAAGGATTTCTAAATAAAATTCGTCCATAATTTTAATCTTTATATTCAACTTCCAACATGAAATAGAACTGTTTTTATATAGTTTCTCCTTCAATTAAGTAAGACTATCATCGCTGAGCCTATCTAACAATACGTGTTTTTCTTTTCAAATCAACTTTTATTATTTCTATCTTTGGAAGAAATATTTCATACTTATCCAACTATCAGCTAAATTAATTTTAGATTATTGGTCTATGAAAATGCATTACAATGTCAATGAATGTGTCGTTTGTTACAATAAAACTATTCCTTCTACGTTTATCTTTGGCTCATATTTGCAATTAACAAATAGTTGAAAGATTGTAAAATTCAACGATGTCTGGCTGTGAATCAAATTAAGTAAATAATTTGAACAAGCCGTCGGTTTTTTTCCAGAAATATGTGTGTTTCTGTGTGGTGTCATCGAGATCAGACTGAATATTGAAACAGATGCATGGATGCATGTGTGTAGGTCGAAACGAAAATGTCACGATGAAGTAACAGAGCCAAATGGAATTCTATTTAAGAAAACATGTCAAATGCATGTGTTTTCGAGCTGTGACTTCATTTTTAAAAAGAAATTATTAGAAGCTATAATAAATAGAAACGCTTATGGTGCTATTCATGTACAATAAATTAACCATGAATGTAAATTGAAAAATTCCGCGTAAATTATGAAATTCATTCAAATGTAATTATGTACAACAGTGAAAACGTGCTATTGTCGTATTAAAATTCATGTCATTTTGTTTTGATGTTTTGATCCTCCCAACCAGCCGTGGAATTAACTCACCACTGACGAAATAAGCTCAAATGTCAAGAGACCAAATACAAAAACAACAACTTGACAGTAAAAAAAAGCCATATCAATCAATGTGGCGGATAGAAAATATGTAGCCGAAAAAATGAGACAAAATAAATCAGACGAAGTTAAACTAAATGTAACTGCATATTTTTGTCGGTTATTCATTTCTTAGTCTAGAATACATTGGTTCTCATCATGACGTTCAATGCGAAGAAGCAGCCGACAAATGTGAAATAATCCATGTTGTGAACGTCGATATGCACACACTCAATGTAGACAGCATGAAGCTATTGTCGAGCATACGAGTGGAGCGGGCGATGCTCTGTGCTGCTTGCAGATTATCCATGAAATAATGATATGGGCAATGACTTGCTTCTTTGACTAATGCCGTAAAATTTGGATATCGAATGATTTCAGCCGCCTGTTAAAGAAAAATGAAAATAAATATCATTCTTCGGTGAAATGATGCGAGGGGGATAAGATTTTTTTTCTGGAATTTAAGACGATAAAATTGTGAGCTGAATACGTTCTTTTTTGTATGGCACTTACCACCGAAATACTTTCATTGGAGACACGACAAAATGTCATATGTTTTCCCGTTAGAACGGTTTGTTCGACTCGACGCGTAAACAATGGCTCTGTCCACGGCAATTGATTTAAATGAGCCATAAATGATCGATCATGATATTCCACCGGATCTGATATGATGAGTTTGTCTGTTGCAGTGAGGGAGAGAGAAGGAGAGAAAATAATCGGTTAGCGGCAATAAATCAAATGGTTACTCATTTATCGTGGTGTCAATGCGTAAGACGATCCGTACGCATCGCATAATTTTTATGAAGGCAGCTTAAAATATATTGCATCTTCATTTTTCATTCACACTAAATTTGATGTGATGTGTTTCGCTTTTTCCCTTTCTTATTGCCTAATTAATTTCAGATCACTCCATCAAATTGCCTTTGTTTTCTGTTTTTTTTTTTGGGTTTTTTATCGGAATAACATCTGAAAAATTGTTACTCACTCAAAATCGATTCTTGTTGGAGTGCATCCTCTTCGGTGACAATGGTGTATTCTTTGGCATTTTTCAGAGCTTCAATAGCTTTTTGATTGTTCTCATCGTCGATATGACCACCGGGCGGGAAATTCGGGAAAACCGTTGTTGGCAACAAATCAAGAGCATTTCTGAATGAAACGAGAGGAGAAAAAAAATGTTACAATTACTTTTGGTTTGTCATTTGACAATTTTAGAAATGTATCGATTCGGTACGAACCCATTGTAGAGAAACAGATTTTCCACGTCAGTCATATTCATCGAGTAGAATTCATAGACACCAAATATTTCGAAAAATTCCTTTACTGGCGTCATGCTGTAGCAGCCAGCTAAATCGATTTTTGGATAATAGGTGATGAACGATAAGCACATTTCTTGTTTCGTTGAATAGCCGCCGAATGTGGGCCGCTTTCGATTCAATGTCTTTCCGTAACCGCAGAAAAAAAAAGGAAAGAAGAAGAAGAGAAGAAGAAAAGAAATGATTCCACTAAACGAAAACCACAGACACCAGAATCGATTTTTATTGTGTTGGTCGTTGAGAAATTGGCGATTTTCACGCGTGGTCAACATGCAAATTTTTTCCTCTGAGCTACCTACCTCATAAGCACAGTCGGTAATTAGATAGTCACCCGGTAAAATGGTCGTCTCATTCTCTAATTGACGCACTTGTTGATAATTGAAGTCATAAGTGTCGTCTTCAATAATGCGATCCAATTCGACGCCGTTACGCACATGGCGCAATTTCATTTTACGTCCAGCCACATGCGAATGCAATGTCGCCGATATAATCTTTATTCCAGTCTCAGGAAACATCTAAAGATAAAGGAGAAAAATGGAACAGTGTTTACTTGTACATTGAAGAAACACGCTGCGTTCTCTCTCTCTCTCTCTCTCTTTCTCTCTCTCGCTTTTCTTATCTCTCAAGCTAATGCAAACGTGAAAGTGTTATTACCGTCGATGTACACGATGGGCCACAGATTCCAACGTTTCGATAAAGTTTTTGCCGTGGTGGAATCAACTGTGTATCAGACACTGAAACACCAGATATCATCATACCGCCGTCGACTTTGCGTAGATGTCTGGTATAATGGATGCGAAAGCCGGAATGGTCGATTACTTTGGAATAAAATGAAATCGAATTATAATTTGTTTGAACCGATTGTCATTTGATCAATACATGAAATAGTCAAGAGCAATTACTTCTTTTCGCTTTTGGATTGTCGTAGTGAATTTCCAACATGTAATATTTGGGACCATCACGACCACCAAATGGGATTCCCACGTGATGCGGTAAATATTGACCTGTTAAAAACAAAAACAAAAAACACATTCGAATTAATGAGTTTTTTAAACGCTAATTTGGCACTGTTTTCCAAGTAATTTATGGTAACATTTCTCTAGGAAGAGGTAATTTTCTTCCAAGAAAGTTTTTCGTTCTTTCAAAGGGTAAAAAGTTTTTTTTATTCAAGATATCGCTTTGATGTGTTTTAGGTAATATTTGTACGGTTTGTATAAGAACATGCTCCGCTTTCTTATTCTTAAAACATGAACTTTCATTGCTTTCATGAAAATATTACGAATATCATACCTGTCGAACTGATAGTCCATACGGCAACAGGTGTAATGCAGGCGTCCCAATCACGTGGCGTTAATAAGTTACTATTACAAACGGCACCGCTGCTTTTCACCCAAATGTCCCACGACAGTGGATCGGAGCTCGGATACGCTGACGTTGAGCATTCAAATAGTGTCATATGATGAACCAATGGCTTTTTTGTTTGACTGAAAAAACATCGAACCATGAAAAAAAAAATGTCGACAGAATTAAATTGCTGAAAACCTGAGTCTCCAAAACTCCATCGAAAAAAATTACGAATTGCTTCCATTTGAAAGTAGAAAAGTGACGGAAAGTAGTGTGTGTGCTTGTGCATGATAAACTTACTTTTCTTTTGTGAGTAGCGCTTCATAGCCAATGATGTGATGTTTGTCTTGCAGAACGGGTGCTTTGAGGATTTTACACCAGTACAATGTGTCCATGTCGGTTTCGATGGTAATCTGTATGTATGAATGGAAAAAGTCACATCATAAACGCAATTCTATGGAATGTTTTAATTAGTTACAGGCCGCATGTAAACTCAGTGGATCGCATTGGATACATGGGCACCCTTGTTATTGATGGCAGGAACACATCTCGACCGGATGAATGAATGTTTTGGGAAAAAAAATTCATGCATAGTTGGTCACATGGTTTTTGTGGTTGAGTTTTCATGTTAATCTCCTTCAATTAGGCTCTCAGTAAACAAAAAATGAACATACGAAAAACACTCTTAACTCAGCCTGCTTGGTTCACACATTGACTCTATATTAAGTGAATCATTGTTGTTGGCTCTGTCGCGTATTTGCAATGTATCACTTATTCAGAGTTTTTTCATTGAAAAATTTCATTCACACGCGATTTTTCTTCTTGTTGTTGTTGTTTCATATTTATGCTCTTTGTCACAAATTGAGACTCATCATATATTCTGTTTGTTGTGGGTTTGATGTTTGGCAACTCCTTAGTGAATTTTCGTCGGTGTAAATGTAAACAATGCCATGAATATCACGTATAAATTGATATGGATGGATCTGACAACTAAAATATTCGTTACTTATGACACATCGCACAAACGGCGGTATATACATGTTTAAAAACGGCTTTCAAATGCTTTTATACAATATTACATTAATTGTTTTTTGAATGGCTTGGTCCATTTTCCACACTTCGTTTGTCATTTTTCTTCATGGACCGTGGACCAAGTGGTCTCTCTACATGTTAAAATTTGTTAGAAATGGTTTAAACTACAGGGTGAGGCAATTGAACTGCAACCAACTTCAGACTGCTATAAT